TAATAGTGCTCTGACCTTTTCTAGCTGTTGTTATTGTAAGCATTGAGCTTACCTCATCTTACCTGGGAGCCCTACATCTGACCTGACATCTGAACTGTCATGAAAACATACCCATAGGCTGGCCACCCTTAGAAACCTTTCAGTCTGCAAACTCATGTCCTTCAGTCGTAAGAAATGCTCATTAATCATGCAGTTAAACTAGAGATTTTTCTCACTGATCCTGTTTTTTTTAATTCTCATTTTTAGGCACTTATTATTTGGATGCTAACTCCTGAGCTAATTTACTACCTTTTTTTCTTTTCTCCCTGTTTTCCTCTCTTTGTCTCTTTGTTCTATAGTTGAGAAAAATGTTCCCAAAACTTCTGCTGAGTTTACCTGTACTGATGTGTTCTGAATTCTCCAAAAAATTTGAGTTTGTTCTCCTAGTCTTTCCCTTTTGTAGAATTCTATTCTTGTTTCATGAACACAACATCTTTTCTAACTTTTTCTAGTTCTTTAAGGATCATTTTCCTTTTGCCGTTTTCTTCTTCCCGCACTGGCTCATTTTGGGGTGGCCCATTTTGCTTTGATTTCCTCCCTGCTAAAGGCTCTCCTTGCTGTCTGGAAATCCTTAAATTGACTGTTTAGATATAGCCTGCAGGGCATAACACCAATTTTGTCATAAAGGCACGTTATTGTGGGTATATAATACCCACATTTATTCTTCAGAATATTTCTATTGATGAATTATTAATTTTACTTTTATGAGTTTTATTACATCAAATAATGAGTACTTAATGGGAAAAAATAAAATATTAACTTTTTAATATTTATTGTTTATAAAAAAGCGTCAAAATTTTTCAAGATCAATTGTTTTTTAGTTGTCAAACAAGTCTAAAAAAAACCCACCAGAAATAAATTCCTCCATAAACTAGGATGAAAATACCAATACAACTCTACAAAAAAAATTCTTTCTTCAGTTATCACACCTAAGTCAATCTTCTCACATGACAACCCATGTTTCGTACATACATACCGCTCACACTGACAGCGCACATGTTTTGCTTTCCTGGCCTTTCTATACAACATAATTGACATTTTGTTGGCCTTGCTGTTTTGTCAGGAGGTTCTTATATTATACAGTGTGTAGTTAACAAGAATATGCAATGTCAATAGAATGAAGTATTAAATTATTAATATTATTGTGCATCTAGAATAAACAGAATTTTCACATCAGCTGTGCTCTTGCTTACAAAACCTAAAGTATAACATCAGAAATAAACTCCTATATGAACTCCAATGAAAATACCAGTAAAACTCTACACAAAAATCTTGGCTTCAACTGTCACACCTAAGGCAGTCCTCACACATGTTCCATACACAAATATCACTTACACTGATAGCATGTATGTTTTGTTTTCCTGTCCGTTCTTCTAGGGCACAGTTGACATCTCCTTGGTTTTCCTGTTGTCATAGTAGGTCTTTGTGTTGCTGTGCCTGCCTGTTCACCTGTCAGCTCAACAATGTGCTCCACAATTTTTTTGTGTAGTTTCATAGACAGAAACATTTTGTTTGTCCTCTGCTCTAAATGATCTCTTACGAGTTCCAGTCCCAGCCTTCTAAGAAATTTCTCCATGAGAGGCCAGGGATATAGTTCCGTGGCACAGTGCCTGCCTGGCAAGCACAAGGTCTTGAGTTCAATTCTTGGTACCCAAAAAAAAAATTTTCTACATGATATTTTGCACTTGTTATTTTCTTTGTAAACTATCAAACTATTTATGCCACACATGTTTAGGGTCAAGTAAAACACAACCATTTGTGTTTCAAGTGACATCGTAGTTGCTGCATAACTCATCAACAACATCTATTCTGCCTTTGATTTTGTAATTGAAAGTTTCCATCTCAAAAGTTTCCATTTTGTCGTGGTTTTCCTATCAATAGTTCCATCCTGGCACAATGTTGACATCAGCAGTAATAGTTTGATTTTCTTCATACAAGGCCAATGTTATATCTTTCTGAAATCCAAAGTTTGTACAATTCTCTGTTTTGAAATTGTAACATTTCATTTGGAATTTCTGCTTTGTTTCTGCATACAGTTATTATGCTGGTCAGCTTGTGCTCTGTTAACAAATACAACATCAGTTGGAAAGTGGTGAACCAATTGTTAAATGTCATATTCTGATTACTTTTGGAAATGACAGCAACAAGTCTGTTCACAGAATCATTTGGTTTATTTCTATACCATTACTATATGAATAAGGACCTGGTGGCTGCGTTCCAGGATAAATTTCTAAATTGAAAGCATGAGTCTGTACATCTACAAGCACACAAACTTTTTATGCCACATTATGAAGGTTTTGGGGAAATATACTCCCTGAAGCTACTGTGACCATGAAACGCTGCAAGATGTTCATCGATAGTCATGTATTCAGATGGTGTGTAAATTGCTTGACAACTGTCCACAAATCTCTTATACTATGAGTCGATAGCAGCCAGGTTATTAGTTCTTTTTTTTCTTGGTGGGTGGTTTTATCATCAAACCTCAGGCCATTCTGAAGGAAACCAAGCCTCTTCAGCGTACAAACTCACACCAATCGCTTTTCCAGAAGTCTTTTACATCCCTGCAATTACCCTGAGGAAGCCCTGCTAAATACAACAGACCTATGAATGCTTTCAGTTCAGCTAGTGAGGTGTCATAGGAAATACATTGTTGAGTATGGCTATTGGTGCATACAGAATGTTTTACTTGTATTTCAGCATTTGTGTATTTCACATCATATAGCATTTCATCTGTTACAATTTCCAACACTGAATGGCAGTACAGGCATTCCATCCAATATGTTTCACTCCTGTCGAGATCTTCACTATATATTTCTACTAGTCAAAGACGTACTCACACTGGTGTTTTCTTCACCACCTGAATCAAGGAGATCTGCATTCCCTTTGTCTGTATTGATTGGTTCTTGCTCCATTTCACTGTCACAGGAACTTTGGCTCACATGGTCAATGTCAAAAGCATTATCATCTTCATCATCCATGCATGAATGATTAGATGATTCACTTTCCACCTCCTCCAAAACTTGCAAATCTGGTTTTTCATGTGCCATTGTATTGAATTGGGCTACTTCTACAAGAAAAATCAAAAGAAAACTTTTTAAAAAACAAATCCTAAATGTACAGAAATATAGCAAAGAGCATTTCCTGGGTAAAATGCATTTGTTTCTGCTTTGGCTCTCCTGTACACACTTTGCCATTCATCTCCCTAGTGGGTGAATGCCCAGATAGGTTTTTGCTTTCCCCAGGCATACCTACTATGAGTCACACCCACATTCCATTGATGGTAAAATACATGTTTATAGAACAGAAGAGTGGTGTGGGTGTATGTTACCCCCTGTGATGCTTAGATAAACATATGCACATGTGGGTAAAAATCCAGGTTTAACACTTTTGCACATATGCACACACCATGCCATTCATCATACCAAGTGAGTAAACACAAAGATTGCTTTCTGTATTCCCCAGGCTGGGGATGTAGCTCAGTGCAAAGGCCCTGGGTTCAGTCTCCAGTACCATACACACTCACAAAAGACTCGGGACCTCCAGATGACATCCCATCATGGTGGCCTGGAAAGCTTACAGTAAACCCAGTGGGTAGGGGTGATTTTGCTCTGTCCCAGGGGCTTCCTCATGCACAGCCACTGGGCCTTCTGTCCAGGGCAGGGCCAGCCACAGCAGCTGCAGGCAGGGACAGGCCTGTAGGGAAAGAGGATGCCCTGCAGCCACCTGTCAATTGCAGAGGACACACACAGGAGACTATGATTTGTACAAGCACACCAGGGCACAGCTTGAGTTTTCTGCCTTTTCAGCAAAAACTGGCCCAGAAGATAATGAAGATGATACAAGGCGACTATATTGAAAAGCCAGACTTTGCCCTGAAGTCCATAGGCAAGTGGCCTCCCCACCCCCATCTGCATCTCCAGTGTCCTCAGAGGTGGATGTGAGCACTGGGTGACCCACCCCCTTACTGCTGGGATGCCCCCCTCTAAGCTTGCCTCTGCTGCCAGCTGGTTTCATCTTCCCTAATGGGGTCTGGCCCTAGGCAGGGGCAGGAGTCTGAGGCCCTCTACAGTGCCCGCCTCCCCACTGCTGTCACCCCACACCATTCTCCACACCCGAGCTGGGCACACAGAGGTCACTGGGACAGCCCTGCCCCTGCCCGGGGGGATTGGGAGACTGGCCAGAAACAAACCAACTGGGGCTGAATGGCAGGCAGGAGCCCTAAAGCAGAGGGCTGGATAGGGAGACGCAGGCAGGGGGAGGCTTCCTTCCTGCTAGGAAACACTTGGGTTGAGCCCGGTGAGGAAGGAAAAGTACTCTTGACAAGCGGACACATGAAAAATGCTCTGGGCAGAGGTCTGCAGGAGTCAGCAAGGGGTACCTAGGAGGCCATGAGGAGACAGATGAGTGGACAGGACAGGACCAGGCAAGGCAGGCTGGGCCTCCACGGGGAACACCAGGCAGCACCAGCTGACCTGTGTACCCAGAGCTTAATGACACGTGGAATCAGAAGGCAGCAGCCCAATGCCTGAGCCCCCTCAGGCCTGGCTGAACTCCCAGGGCCTGGCATCTCCCTGCCATGCGCTGGGTGCACTGACGGCCATAGGCACAGTGATATGCTGGGTACAGAGGCACCAGCTCCACTTTTGGAGCGCTTCAGTGCACTAGCACATCCCCGCACTCTCCCCTGCAAAGTGGGTGCTCTGGCTACTGCCGTCATGGCAGCCTTCGTTGCTCCCATTGCCCAAAGGGACCATGAGCCGCAGGGAGGGCCAGGGACTCAGCTGAGCCCTGGGGAGTGCCGTGAGTGCCCAATCAATTTGGTTTCCTCCCCTGCAGGTGCCACCATTGACTTCGAACACACATCACCCACATACAACCACAACAAGGCTCGCTCCTACTGGAACTGGATCCGGCTGTGGAACTACGCACAGCCCCCAGATGTGATCCTTGAGGTAGGGGACAGCAGGGGAAAGGACAGAGGGCAGGGGTGTGGTCAGGGTGTAAGGACAGAGCTGGCAGCAGAGATGGGGGTGGCATCTCTGGAGTACAGGCAGGGACAGGGACAGCTTGCTTTGCACTGGAAGGCCCCAACCAGCCCTGGAACCGCAGGACCTGGGAACCCTAGGACATCCCTGGGAGCAGGCCCTTGATATACCCATTTACAAAGAGCCATGTTCACTTGACTGTAGCCACACAAATGGTCACTAGGATGTGCCAGAGCCAGATTTCAAAGCTAAGCAAACTGTCCCTCTGGAGTCCTGCCTCACAGATGAGGAAACTGAGACCCAAAGAGGCGAAGGAGGTCATCCAGGTCACAGAGCAAGTATCTCTTGGCTTAGCAGACACTGACCAACATCTAGTCTTCATGGCGAGCCCCACATCGTGCCAGTTCCACAGGTGACACATCGATAAGTCCCACCCTCAGGACCTCCAAGATGCCAGCACTCAGAGTCAGGAGGAAGCAATGGCCTGGTAGGGACAAGGAGGCCTCCTTTGAAAGCAGCCAGGTGTGAGCAGGGCTCGTCAGGCACTTAGAAGATGCGAACGGCCCGCTGGACACAAGGAGCTACTGTGGGACAAAGGAAGGCAAAGCAGTGACAAACCCTGGCCAGGGAGGGACCAGCCCCACAAAGACTCAGCAGGGCTAGGGTGGGAGGTGCACTCTGCAGCCCGATCCAGCTCCCTGCAGCTCCTGCTCCCCAGGCTGCTCCACTGGCCCCTGGGCCTTTCATAGCCTCACCCTACTCACTATCCAGCAAGCCCTCAACTCCCCTGGTCCCAGATCCTCCAGCAGCCCCTGCCCCACTCCTGAACCCCTATCCTAGCACATGCTGTTCCAGGTCAGGTCCATCCACATTCTCTCTCCAAAAGGCTCAAGCCCTGATGAATGAACAAATACTTTGGCTGTGTGACTTCTGCTGAACCTCTTTCCTTCGCTGAGCTTCTGCTTCCCCTTTAGGAGGCAGGAGATTGTACTGGTTCACGTCATACTCCAGGGTCACACCGCCTGAGTTACACTTCCAGCTCTGCATGGTGCTGAGCCTGTCTACTGGTGCTGGGCTGGTAGGGATAAGCAGGCCTCCTTTGGAAGCAGCCAGGTGTGAGCAGGGCTTGTCAGGCACTTAGAAGATGCAAACGGCCTGCTCTCTTCCTCAGTTTCTCCACCTGCAAAATGGGGAAAGTAATGGTGCCTCAGAGGGTGATTGTGAGACTATGTAAAGAAGAAGGGGAGAGATGGATGAGAGAAGGAATGAATGAATGAATGAGTGTCAAGGGGCTAGGGGCTGGGAAATCCAAGCAGGCAGGGAGCTCCCAGGAGGGGTGGCCATGGCCCAGTTCTGCAGAGAAGCAGGAGTGGCTCCCTCTGGGGAACAAAAACAGAGGACCAGGCAGGTTGAGGAGCCCCTGTTACAACCCCTGTGACACCTCTTCCAGCCCAACATGACACCGGGCAACTGCTGGGCCTTCGAGGGTGACCGCGGCCAGGTGAGCATCCAACTGGCCCAGAAGGTCTATCTGTCCAACCTCACGCTGCAGCACATCCCCAAGACCATCTCCCTGTCAGGCAGCCTGGACACCGCCCCCAAGGACTTCGTCGTCTACGTGAGTCACCCAACGGGGAGCGTGCTTAGTGAGGGGACACCACATAACGTGGCAGTCCAGGCCTTGCAAGTGAGGGCAGACATGGCCAAAGTGGGCTCGGACCCCAGCCTTTGAGGATGAGCACAGGCACCTGCTCCATCCCAGCCAGGCTTTTCAGAGCCAAGAGCTTAGAGAGACCATGGAGCCCCCATTTTGCTGAGAAGGTCCAGAGAACTGTCAGGACCTCTTGGGTAAAATGAGCTCGAGAAGGTCAGCAAAACACTCCGGTCCTACATGTCAGTGGCAAAGTTGGAAGTAGATCCTCTGCTTCTGACTCCCAGTTCAGAGCTCTTTCTGTGTATTACACTGTGTGGTAATGATACACTGTCCAAAGAAGTAAGGAGCTCCCCATCCCGGGAGGTGTGCGAGTCTCAGCTGGAGAGAGGAGACACCCCCTGGAGGAGGGCCTGTCCCTGACATCAGCTCCTTGGTCTGACTGCACAGGGCATGGAGAGCTCCCCTAGGGAGGAAGTGTTCCTTGGGGCGTTCCAGTTCCAGCCAGAAAACATTATCCAGACGTTCGCTCTCCAGGTACCTGCGCACCTGCTGTGCCCACCCTGAGCCCCACTCGTTGCCCACAGCCTGGGAGGTGCCAGTTAATACCCCCTTGACAAAGAAATCGAGGCTCAGACAGATGGAGCCACTGCCCAGGGCCAACAATGGGACCCGGGGAGATCCATTCACCTCTGGAAGTCCTCATGTTCCCTGATCTGCACGGGAAGCCCTCTTGCCGCATTTCTCCCAGGGCCAACAGATGTTGGACCGATCAGGTAGGGGTGCTGGCCCTAAAGTCTGTATACCGGGAGCCCCCTAACCAGCAGCTGACCCAATGACAGGTGGGGAAAATGAGGCCTGGAGGGGAGGGAGTTGAGGACAGAAACGGGATCAGTGGTGGCTGGAATGGCAGGGGGACTTGTCAAGGGGTATCTTTGACAAGCGGTGTCCAGGCCATGACTGGCCCAGATCTCGCTCTGGCCACAAGTTTTGTATGAAGTTGGGGCTTTTCCTGCCTCTCTGGGCCTGTTTCACCTCTGTAATTCCCTGGGAGGTTGAAGCCAGCCAGTGAGATCTGAAGGCCACGCCTCCCCCGACTTTTTGCACCAAACACAGGCTCCACCCCTCCAGAGGGGAAAAAGGAAGCCGGTGCTCCTGAGCCTTCCATCCCTCATGCCATTTCATGCCCACAGCAATCTGGGAGCAGCTTTTACCACTCCCATCTTAGAGAGGGGAAACTGAGGCCCAGAAGGGCATGCCTTGCCCCAGATCCCACAGCACACACACTGACAAGGCCCCAAGGCTGGGCCATTTCCCTAACCCCAGCAGGGGCTGGGGATTTAGCTCAGTGGCAAAAGCGCCTGCCTGGCAAGCGCAAGGTCGTGAGTTCGGTTCCCGGTACCGGAGGAAAAAAAAAAAAAAAAATTGTCCCTAATGTCCCTAACCCCAGCAGATCTGTCCTTCTGGCCTCAGTGCCTACTACTCCGACCCCTGAGTATGGACTTTCTGTGGCCTTGGGGCAGTTCATCCCGAAATGGGAGGGTTCCCTTCCGCTCGCAAAGGCCCCCTCTGCGGGCAGTGTGGAGGCCTGTGGGTCACGCTGGCCCTGTGTCTGATCCTGACCTCCAGAACCAGCAGCTGCGGGCCTTTAATGCCGTCAAGGTGAAGATCTCCAGCAACTGGGGGAACCCGCGCTTCACCTGCCTGTACCGAGTGCGCGTGCACGGCTCTGTGGCCCCGCCCCCCAGAAACCTGCCCTAGAAGAGTAAAGTTTATTCTTTATCCCAGCCCACATCTGAGTGTCTTGATGTTGCTGGGTGCCTAGGCACCTTCATAACAGCCTCAGGAGGTCCCACTTCACCGATGGGAATGGTGAACGCTCCACACAACAAAGTGACATACTGGAGGCCACAGCCAGCAAACATCGACACCAGGGTCAAACCCGGGCATCTGATTCCAGTACAAGGCACACATCTCTGTTTCAAATGGAGCTTGGCCCTCAACTGTGTGACCTTCAGCAAAATCCCACCCTCTCAGAGCCTCAGTCTCCCCATCTGTACAAAAGGGGCAGGATGATGGGTGTTATAGTGGGTGAGGTGGCAGGTGAGAGGTCCCACCTTTCCCCCCCTCAGTGTGTGCCAACATCCTGTGAATGATTTGCTGCATGGCTCTGGGCAAGACACGCACCCTCTCTGGACATCAGTTTTTCCCGTTATGAATGTTCCTGTTCCCCCAACCTCAGTCACTCCAGTTCTGTGTGTCATCTTTCTCACCTGCACCACGTTTACTTGACAGTGTAGAGAAGCACTAGAACAGTGTCCCCTGCCAGTACCCCTCACAGCACCGGCATGACACACAGTAGGTGTGGGGTGACCACTGAGGTTACTGCCAACCTCTGGCCCCAGGCAGGTGGCAGGAGGACCAGTCCTCTGGGAGAGTGGAGTGATGCTGCCCCTAACCAGGGCCCTGTCAGTGTGGGAGCAGGACCGGCACCTGCAGGAGAAGTGATTCCTAGTGGGCAGGACAGGCAGCTGGAGACTGGCAAGGAGGTAGGAAGTACATCTGTCAGCAGGGAGAGCACCCTGGACAGACAGATCCCTCAGGCCACCTGCCAGGTCTCCAGCCCTGCCCCAGGGACTGAACTACGAGGATTTCTACAGTAGAAGTGACTTCAAGGGGCCACCACACACTCCTGCCATTCCCTGCCACCTCCCACCAGGCAATGGGCCCCCAAAACACACACATCAAGCCTGGCATCATTTTGATAAGATTTTATGTGAACCATTTCTGTTATGAAAAAGCTGAATGGTCCTGAGGTTTGGTTGAAAAGCAAACCTATAAACAGCCCCCTTTCTTGCCCAAGCCCCTCCCAGTGCCCCTTCTCCAGCTGCACTTTCCCCCACTCATTTGTCTTTAGTTTTGTTTAAAGTGTCTTGCTCAGATTTTTTACAAGTTGATCTTTTCCTTTATAGCTTCTGTGTGGTGTGCATTGCCAGAAAGGGACATGCCCAGCCACAAGTTCACAGAAGTATATTCCTGTATCTTCTATTAATTTTATTACACACACACACACACACACACACACACACACACACACACCACATTTGCTCTTCAGTGCATAGACACACATACAAGATATAGATGTATTAAAGCTCCTTAGTGCATCTGGAATTTGCCTTAGTGAGTGGTGTGAGGTAGGGATCGAATTGGCACTTTGCTTGATTATACTGTATCTCACAGCCTGGTACCATTACTGAATAGCCCCTCTGTCTTGTTGTTTGGAAACATGGTTGATGTGGTTTGCAGTCTCTCGGTTTGCATTTCACTGAGCCCTGCCTCATTCTGCATCTACACCATGCTGCTTGACTTACTCTGCCTGACAGCAGACTCAGTTTGTGCTCCAGCAAGTACTCTGCTTCCAACACCTTACTGAAAATTCTCCTACACTTTTCTGGGGAAGCTTTTTTTTTTTTGTCTTTCTGAGACAGGGTCTCACTATGCAGTTCAGGCTGGCCTTGAACTCACTTATGTAGCCCAGACTGACCTCGAACTTGCAGTGATCCTCCTGCCTCAGCCTCCTGAGTGCTGAGATTACAGGCATGTGGTGCCACCACACCCAGCCCCAGGGAAACTTTAGAAGCAGCTTCTTGGGTTGCATTTTCAAAATGCTGCTGCTTACCATGGTTTTGTGGGCTTATATATGGAGGATAGTATCTTAGCTAAGTCATTGTTTCTCTTCCCAGAACTAGAACCCTTTCTCCATTTCTCCAGGTTCACAACATCCTTCTGTAAGGCGTCATCAGTTGCCTCATATGAATTCTGCACTTCTTGCTAGATTTAATCCTGGGTATTTTAGCAATTTTAGGGCTACTGTACATGGAGTCTTTACCATTGGTGACATTTTCTGCAGAGGGCATCCCTGCTGTTTGGCACTCAGTGTGGCATTTGCCTTTCCATGGTCCTCACCCTCCCAGGGTTCAAGTTATTTCTCAGAATATTCTAGGTGGACACTCCCAGAACCCTCAAATGTTACATAATCCACCATGTGTTCACATCATCATCGTTCCTCATTACAGGGATGGAGCATCCCCACCTCCAGCAGACACTAGGAAACGGAGGCACAGAGAGATGCAACTTCTCAAGGTCACACAGTGATCTGTGGTGCAGCTATAACCGGCCCAGACTCACCAGGCCCCCGAGGTGCTCACTGTCCCACTTCCCATGCTTTCCCATGGTCATGGCAGATCCCAGAGGGTTCCGATGTTTGGACTCCATGAAGCAGTGAATAGAGAGCAGGACGGTGGCTCTGACACTGTGCTCTGCAGTGTGGGGCCCCTCCCCAGGATGGCTGAAGCAGGGGCACAGACAATGTGCCACTGTGATAGACAGAGCCCAGCAGGTACTCCATGGGCAGGAGTCTCGTTCCTCACAGGAAGACCACCCAGAGCATCCAGCCCAGCCCTGCCCAGGTCCCCAGGCCCCCTTCCCTTCTGACTTCACCACACCTTCATGCCCTTTGAGACCAATGCACAGGCCACTGGGTGGGCGCTGCAGTTCACAGAGAGCTCAAGTGGCCCTCAGTACAGACACAACAACAGAGCCCCTAATCCTCCAAGAGCCCTGACCTGTCCAGCAGGGAGCAGGGGCCTGATGGATCAAGGAGACCTTGCCTCTGGGCATCAGCCAGCTGAAAAACAAAGATGCTCCCACTCCTGCCCACCCCATTCTGGCCCACAGGCACAGGCCACTTGCCTGCATCCAGTCCCAGAGGCCTGGAGTGGCAGAGTGGGCCATCAGCCAGCAGGAGAACAGCTCTGCTTAGAGACCAACACCAAACCGGAAGCAGGGCATGATGGTGCACACCTGTAATCCCAGCACTTGGGAGGCTGAGGCAGCAAGATTGCCTTCAGTATGAGGCCACCCCGGGCTACACAGTGAGTCCAAGGTCAGTCTGAACTACATAGTGAGACCTTGTCTCAAAAAACAAAACCGGAGGTTCAGAGTGCCAAACCACCCCCAGGTCTCCCAGGGTGGCGCCTCTGGTAAACCTAGTACAACCCAGGGATTTAGCTAATCCTGCTAATCTCCAGAGCCAAGTCAGCTCACCAGGCGGCAGGCAGGGCCTCTGCTTCTCTGAGACTCAGAGACCCCAGGACTGGCAGGCAGTGAGCCACAGCCCCAGTGATAGATAGAACCCTGTGTCCCCTGTGTTTTTCCACTATGTTACCTTGAAGGAACTGCCTTCTGGGCCTCAGTTTCCCCACCTGCTCCAGGAGATGCTGGCCCTCGCCCCTCTGCTGGAGGTGGGCTGGGCCCCAAGCCGCAGCATGAAAGGCCCTTGTTGGCTGTGGCAGAGAGTGTAGCCTGCCTCACGAGGACAAGAGGAAATACATACTGTTCAAATCAAATCTCAGTGGAGCCCCATGTGCCTGTGCCAGCAGGGAACCCTGCAGCGGTCCTTTTCTGCTTCCCAGGCCTCTGAACCCTTCCAGGGGTCAGATGATGGCCTTGAATAGGAGCTGGCTGAGGCTGCTGGCCCCCTAGCTGACCTAGACACAGCCAGCAAGCCCAGTCCAAAGACCCCCCAGTCACCCCTCTTCATGACCATGGAGTTCCCAAGGCTCACAGGAAGCTCTGGGTGGCCTAGATCCTGGCCGTCACCCCACGCCCCACAACCTTCCCACATCTGTGGCCACCAAGAACTTCCTGTTCTGTTCACTCTCAGATCCTGGGCTCAGGCTCCAGGAGGGGTCCAAGCAGGGTCAGTGAATGATTGGCAAACCTCCTGTTTTGGGGCAGGGTGAGTTTCTAGCCCCTTATAGGCCTCTGAGGGCGTCAGCTGAGTCTGGTGTAGGAGGGCTCAGAAGGGGGCCTCAGACTCAGAATAGCAGAGCTCCCCAAGGGCCTCCCTCTCAGTCGGCCACCCTTCCCACCATACATGCCTCCAGCCAGCCGCGTGGTCACCCACCGGCATTACCGCTGGAAGGGCCCTCTGGGGCAGGAGGGACGTCCCTGGATGTCCTCTCCACCCAGCACAGATAAGCTGGCGCCACCCTGGGAGCCCTGAGACCTGAGCTGTACAAGAGGGTGTGCACCGAACATGCCCCACAGCAAGTGCCCTTGTCAGGCGCTTGGCCTGTGGTGGCTGTGCTGGGTAGCTGCTGGTGGGAGGTCAGGGAAGCTGGGCTGGTAGGAACAGAGTCTGCAGCTGTAGGTGCTCAGGGAGGACGAGGCAGGAGGTGCCCAAGCTCCTAGGACATGGCATGGCTAGCTCTCTCCTGTGGCCCCCTTGAGAATTTCAGGGGGACACAGCTGCTGAGCCTGGAACCCTAACCCCAGGCCACCCAAGAAAGGATTTTGTGACAGTCCAATGAGGGACTGAATCCCTTGGTTTGGCAGGTGAGCAAGCCCAGGTAGGTAGGGGTGCTCAAGAGCCCAGATTCTGTGGATTTTCTACTTCCTCCTCCTCCCTACGGGGTCCGCAGTCCTAGCTACTTAAGACAGCCACCCACCAGGAGGTGGTGCTTATTTTAATCCGACACACTAGGAGAAGCTACCTGTCTGCCTAGATTAGATCCAGAGAGGTTTAGCCACCAGCCCTGTTCTTCCAGCCCTGTGTGGGGCAGAGCCTAGAGGGCATCCAAGGAGCATTGTGGGACAGAGCCTGGCCTGCTGTCAGTGCTGCTGACTTCCATGCTGCAGGATGGCCTTGGACAAGGCTCTTCCCCTCTCTGAGTCTCTACTCTCTTAAGTTGAAGGAAAGGGAGCCTTTCCATCAGCTCCCTGGGTGTCCTCAGGACAAACACAGGGAACTGAGTGTGACACCTCTCTTCCACCCATCCCTGCCACACATCAGCACATCCCCGCAGCCCCACTTCCTGCACCACCCTCAACCCCACTGCCTCGCTGTCCCCTGCACACTCTGGGTGACTCCCTCATCAGGCCCTCACCACCCCCAATGCCCATAATGGGGTCTGGAGAAGCTGAGAGAGCTGGTGCCCCAGCAGATGGGCACTTCCAGACCAGGGGAAGGCTCCAAAGGCAGAAGGCAGCAGAGCCAAGTAGAGTGCCACTACCACGCTCCCATCCCTGCCTTGCACAGAGACCAAACAGCTTATAAACACAGGCTGGGGAGCAGTGCCTGATAGTAAAGGAAAATAGACAGACAGCAGGGGATGGGAACAAATAGCCACTGCCACCCATGGACAGCTGCTGGGCCTCTGGACCAGATTGGGCTTCAACTTTCTATAAAACCAAAACGATTTCTGAGCCACTGAGCTCCGCCACCTTCTACCCCATCATGGGGAGTACAAAGCCCAACCACCAGGTATCAGCCCGTGATTTGCCATGCAACTGCATCCTGAAGAGGGAACACTCTCCTTTCTGCATCCTTGCCAGGGAATGTGACAGGTGCCTATGCAGCCCAACCTTACCACCTGCAGGATTCTGACATCAGAGAACATTTATTTTTTTTCTCCATGACTCCATGTGGGGCCAGAAGATATGTGGACTTCTCCAGAGAGGCAGAGCAGAGCCATCAGGGAAAGTTGCACATACCCTGGGCCTGGTGGGGTGCGAAGCAAGGACATTCAGGACCCCACGGGCTGGGGTGCCTTGCAGTACTGGAAAGGAGGGCAGGGCCTCTCTGCAAGGCCTCTCTGTCCTCTGTGTGGAGAGGACACAAGGGTGGCTTCCAGAGTCCTTGGGTGTTGCTCAAGAGAGGAAGCAGTGCCACAGGCTCTCTGAGCTCTGCAAATAGACATGGACCCAAGGCAAGGCCGAGACATGGGGCTGGACTATGGAAACTCACCAGGGCTGCAGCAAGAGACAGAGGACCTGGGCCTCAGGGATGTAGGCGAGTTGAAGCCTGGTAGCCTGGAGGTTGAGGCCACTGGGGACAGGGAGGGGGAGCGGGAGGGGAAGGCAGCCAGTACATTGGCTGGAGTGTCTGCAAAGGTCTGCTTCCTGACAGACTCCAAATTCTTCTGGATGTCAGGGGCCACCTGATGGGCATTCTGGCCCTGCTGGTGTGGGGCATGGTGCGTCAGGAAGTCAGGCTTCTGGATAGGTGTCAGATCATTGAAGTAAAGGCATTGGTAGACCTGAGGTGAGATCTGTGGGGACAGAGTAGGCAGGGGGGCGGGGCACTGTGGGAGCTGATAGCACCAAGGGCCAAAAGCAGGCTCACAGGAAGGAAGGGCCTGGAGGTCTTCCCTACAAAAACAGCAGCCTCCAAAGCACCATGCTGTCACTAATGGCCACACGGTATGGAAGGCCAGCTCCCTCTCCTCCAGCTGGTACCCACTGTGGCCCTGGGAGGTCAGTGCTATTCCCTCCTAAGAACAAGGCCATGACCTGGATCAAGGGTGCTCGATGAGTGCAGGTGCAGAGAGCTCCTCTGGTGTATGCCCTTCTCCCATGAGCACCTCCATGCCATGCTTTGAGAGAAGGCCCACTGGGCATGATGGCAGACAGGACAGGCAGCTGGGGAAGGCTGGACCCACCCACCCAAAGGCAGGATGGAGCTGACATCTACTCACTCCAAAGTCCCCTGCTCCCTCTCTCTCCCGCAAGGAGAGCCATCCTATCCCATGTACTCTTCATCCCTTCTGTGCACTGGCACCATGACACCGTGTCTGCCTGGGAGCACCCACAGTCATGAGGACATGGGCAGTAAAGACACTAACAAGCCAGTGAGCAGCCAGGCCTACAGTAGTGCTCTGACGGCTACAGTCAGGTGCCTTGCCAAGGAGGAGCTCCTCCCATAGGCCGGATAACCTCCAGGGTAAAACCTGCAGCCATGGCCTCAACCACACCAGCTCTGGCAAGCACCCAGGCCATACCAGCCTCTGCCAGAACTACCTGTGGCCCAGAGTCCTGACAAAGGCTGAATGCTAGCAACACCCTACTAGAGGCCACATGAGCAAAGGCAGCCACAGAAGGAGGTGGGGTCCATAGGCCCCAGGCCTCAGGGCTCAGGGCTCAGGGATCAGGGACCAGGGAGTGGGCCCCACACTGCCTCACCTGCTGTTTCATCCAGCTGTAATTCACATTGGCAGACAGGACTCTGGGGCTCCGCAGCCTTCCCTTGGGCTTATACGCTGCTCCTACGACTTTGCTCACCTGCAGGAGCCACAGGGGACAGTGAAGGCTGAGAGCTGGAGCCCCAAGCCTCCCACACCTCCCAGCAGCCTCACCTGCTTGCCCTTGGACTCCCACTGGCTCCAGCTCTCCTCGATGTCCTCCAACGAGTGCTCTCGGGCCCATGGGGACGTCTCGGCCATCCTCTGCAGCCGGCTCCAGGCCGCAGCCTCCACCTCCTCCTTCCCGTTTAGGAGCGCCATCAGGGCCACCTGCTCCTGCTGCTGGTATGCCAGTGCCTCGGCCAGATCCCTTCTGAGAGGGGCTTTCCTTCACAGCATGCCCTGCCCCTTCCCAGGAGGGTTTGCCCCTTCCCCAGGGATACACTCTGCAGGGACCATCACTGAGCAAGTGTTCAGGGACATCAGGAAAACCGAGATGTGGCTGGTCGTACAAGTCCTGCCACTCTTCCCACCGCCCTGTGCTTCCCTGTATGGTGGCCTGACTCCTCACTCTCACCTTGCCTAGACCTTCCCAGTGGGATATTTCAACATCCACCCCCACCCTAGGCAAACCTTGCCTCTGCTTCATTTCCTTCCCCTCAAAGGACTGTGAAAGCATATGCCAGGATGGGCACACAGGAGCTACAAAGATTCTATTTGTACCTGGCAAATCCCTACATATATGTCAAAACTCAACTCCAAAATCTCTCCTAAGAAGCCTTCCTTACTTGATCTCCCCAGCCAGGTAGCTTGTCCTCTAAGCCACCCCTATACCTAACGTCCCCAACACTATTCAGAACTGCAACCATGAGTTTGCATGTCCATCTCTCTAAAGGGACTGCAAGTTGTCCAAGGCAAAACCTGTATCTGGAAGTAAGCAGAATCTCAATAATTGTGTCTGTGTGTGTGTGTGTGTGTGTGTGTGTGTGTGTGTGTGTGCATACTAGGGATCAAGTTCAGGGCTTTGTACAGCTAGGTAAGCACACTACCACTGAGCTCCACCTCTAAGTCTCAAAAAAATTTTTGAATGAACCAAAATTATTGGAGACTTAGTTAGGATAAGGATGGGTGGGTGGAGAAGGAATAAGCCACCACCTGCCTGCTCTTCCCCACAACTCAAGGAACTAACACAAATGTCTGCTCGGGACCCGGGCCTTGGGCATGGGCCCAGACTCCTCCCACTAGAAGCTGTGGCCCTGTGGAAATGTCCTCTGCAGGGCCCAGTGCCACCCTGGCAAATCTGAGTCTAGCTCGGGGTGGGGCCCTATCTAAATTCTTAGGGTTTCACATTTTTCTCACTTTGTAGTCTTTGCACTGAGCTGGGTAGAATGGGACCACAGGCTTTCCGAAGGTCCCAAGCCTCAGGTGTTCCAAGGGCCCTCCCCAAGGTTTCCCTTGCTACCCTATCCAGGGAGAGGCTCACAGCCTCCTCTGCTCTGGCCAGAGACTACCAAGTGGGCTGTGGGAACTCACTGTAGCTCCAGACGGGAGTCTCTGAGCATGGTGCCTGTGAAATCTGCCTTCTCCTCTGGGCTTGCACTTTGTTCTTGACCATCCATCATGGCATTCTGGACCCTTTTCCAAACACTCAGGCCAAACGTCCCTGTGATTTGACCAGACCCTGCTCAGAACAAGGACTGGCATATGCCCACCTCTGAAGCCACTGCCCCCTCCGCCCACCCTCAAGACAGCCTGTGACCCCTCACCTCCACCCCAAACATTCACTCAAATATTCAGTGCCCAGCATGTGTCAGGCTGTATGCTAAGTATTGAACAAATTCCTGAATGAACCAGTCCTACGATACACTTGGAGCACAGACCTAAATCATCCTGCCCCACATGCAGGTTGGGATGGGAAGAGTTCTATGGCAATGACCAGTGACACTCAGTGGGCTTCAAGCAGCTGTGTATAAAGTGACCTCGCATCAGATAATGGGGCTCTTGAGGTGAAGGTAAGGAGAGTTAGGGCTGGAGTGAAAAAAGTGCAATAAGAGTCCTGTTTCTGGGCCATGTATAGTGGGTAGTAAACCATCCTCCTGCTGCAGAATTTTTTAAATTAAGAAAAATAAGATATTTATTACAAAGTCATTTTAAAGAAATCATCTCAGGAAAACCAAATGAAATAAAATTACAGTAAGAGCCTTCCCAAGAACTGAGGTTAAGAGCTGCTTTTTCTCTGGGTGGCACCCTGAATCTGCACACAGGCTGAGAAAGGAAGAAGCTCGGCTTAGACAGAGGAAGCTACTAGAGGAAAGAGGGACCAGCAGAGCTTCTGACAGCATGACAGATTGAGTCTAATGCAGTCCTAAGTGTACTGCCTGTCCCACAGGACATGCTGAGTGTAGAGGCTGCACTTGTGAAGTGGGGCTAAAATGAGATCACTGAGAGACAAAGCCCTTCCAAAAGAGGAAGTCTATGACAGACACAACAGACTTCACCCCTGGGACAACTAAATACAGAAGAGGACTGAAGAAAATGTTCAAATGAGAAGGGGGACAAGGGCAGCCGGCGGGGGGGAAACAACAAGAAAACAGAAGGAAAAATGGAAACAAAGCTTTTGTAAATAAGGTGGGGAAGAGGGGTTGGAGGGAGGGGAGAGGAATAGGAAAAAGAAAAAGAAGCAAGCTATATCATGTATAGGTACAAATTCCCTATGATGGACAGAAAGGAGAATTTCAATAGAAAATTGAAATTTATAGAAAAGAATGGGCATTCTAAAACTAAAGATGCAATGAAAAGCTCATTGGAGAGATTTAACGCTGGGCTGCATGCATAAGAAGATAGAATTCATGAACCAGAAGGCAGATCAGTAGAAAATATACAGTCTAGAAGTCTGGAATGGTGATGTGCACCTGTCAACTCAGCTACTTAGGAGGTTGGGACAGAAAGATCACAAGTACAAGGGCAGCCTGGACACCAGAAGCAGATATAACAAAAGGAAAAAGAGATAGGCAGGACTATCCCAAACTAAAAGCTTCTAAGCAGCAGGGCAAAAAGACAACCTATAGAAAGGGAAGAAACATTCTGCAAATATATACCATATATCTAAGAAGGGGCTAATATCCAATATACTAACTTCTACAACTCATTAGCCAAAAAAAAACTGACTTTAAGATAAGCAAAGAATTTGGATAGACATTTCTCCAAAGAAGACATGCAAATGGCCAGTGTTTTATGAAAAGATGTTCAACATCAATAATCATCAGGTAAATGTAAAATTAAAACCACAAAGAGGTATCACCTCACACTCACTAGAACATCTAGGAGAAGTCAAAAACCTTGTGGGGATATAAAATTGTGTAGCTACTATGGAAAACACTATGACAGTTCCTCAAAAAAATAAAAAACTACTATAGGATCCAGTACCCCACCTCTTCTGTTTATTTATCTGAAAAAAAAAAAAAACTAATAAAAGTAGGGTTGTGAAGAAAAACTCCCAGGTTTTGTTGCAGCATTATTTACAATAGCTAAGAGATGGAAATACCTGAAGTGTCCACTGACAGGTGAACACATACAGAGAATGTGGTATACACATACAGTAGAATATTATTTACCTTAGGAAGAAAGGAAGTCCTGTTATATCTTACAACATGGATGACCCTTGAGAACATTAGACTAAATTTGAAAAGCTAACCATAGGAGGACAAATATTGCATAATTCCACTTGTCTGAGGTGACTAAAGTGGTCAAAGTCATAGAAACAGAAGGTAGAATGGTGGTTGCCAGGTGCTGTACAGAGGAGAAATGAGGAGTTGCTGCTCAGGTGCACTTTCATTCATGGAAAATGAGAAAATTCTAGAGATCAACCGACTGCAAAAATAAGTGTGTACAGTTAACAATACCGTACCCTTAAAATTTTCTTAAGAGAGTAACAAAATTGTACAGGGGGAAGCTATAATAAAAAGATGCAAAAACACAAGCCAAAAAATGATGAGACTGATAATATGGAATTACTTTAAAATTAGGAACTTCTGTTCATCAAAAGATATGACTGAGCATAAAAAGCAGGTCACAAAAGTGGGAGACATCTATTTAATTGTTGAAATATTCATACCCATAAAATATAAATAACTGCAATAATTTAAAATAAGATAATTAATAGAAAAATATCTGAACAAGAACTTAACAAAAGAATATATTCAAGTGGTCCATAAATACATAAATAGATACTCAGGCTCAATAGTCCTCAGAGTAATTCAAGTTAAAATCACAATGAGATGCCATTACATATTCAAAAAATGGCTTAAGACTTAGAACACTGACAACATCAAGTGCTGGCAAAATTATGGGACAATGAGAGTTCTCACATCTGGCTAATGAAATAATGCAAATTGGTAAACATTTTGAAAGATCATTTGGTAACATTAACTAAGACTTACATCTACATGTTCTGTGATTTGAGAATTCTATTTCTGATATATACCCAGCAGAAATGTATACATTTATTCACCAAAACATATACAAAAATGTTCACACCAGCATTTTTTTGATTATGTAAAATAGCTGGAAACAATCCCCATGCCCATTAACAATAGTACAGATAACATGAATGAACTACTACACTCAGTAAATGGATGAATTTCACAAAAAATGATTTGAGAAGAAAACTGACATAAAGGAGAACCTAGCAAATTATTCCATTTATACAAGGTTCAAAACTAGACATACTTGATCTATGGATATAGATCAAGGATGGCAGGATGGCAGTGACTTCTGAAGAGGTATTGACAGTGACAGTCAGGGTCAGAGGTAAGGGCAGCCCTTAGAATAGTTTCTGTTTCTTGACATGGATGGTGGCTATATGGTATATGTGTATACTTTATGGAAATGCACCAAGCTAAACCTTTTGGCTTGTGTGCTTTTCTTTATGTATAATAAAGTTTATTTTTAAAAAGAGAAGGAATCAGGTATATGATTTTCAAAACTATACACAGGTGAACAATGTTGGGTGGATGGATGAATGTGTAGTTAGATGGTTGATGGATACTGAACAGATTGCTGAATGTATGAAGGGACAGACCAACGTCCTATAATACTATTTGAGCAATGACAGCTGCTATGGGAAGGTTCATGCCAGCTTGTGTTCCATCAGAGATAGGGACAAGAAGGCCTAGGGGTTGGGGTGTGCTTCAGCAGGACCCATACCAATGGCATCACCAGACAGTTTCCAAGCCTTGACATCCCGGTCCTGGCCAGCACTGATAATCAGCTGCAAGCTGTCCACATACAGGATATCTGCTACACTCTCCAGATGGCCCTTCCAGGTAATCAGGAGCGTGGGGGGAACTAGGGAAATGGTCTGGCCATTCACAACCTACAGGGGAAAATAAAGGAGAACTGCTTATACCAAGATCACCTGAGAAGCTCTCAGCAGCCACCTAGGACTGGAGCAGCAGAGCCCAGTGAAAGGCTATGGGACATAGCCCAGCCTTCCAGTTCTGGACATTTCCCATACTAATTTGCTGAGAATCTTTAGTAGGTCTGAGCACCTCTCTGGGCTCACTGACCCCTTAGTAAAACCATAAAAAGTATTTGCATATGTCTATATTGTTTACCAAGTGCCTCTATACAGATTATCCCATTTGAACCTTACAACCTTATGGGATGTACAGGAGTCTTACTGTCTTACAGAGGAGGAAAGTGAGTCAGAGATGTTTAGTAATCAGTAAAAAGCCACATAGCTAGAAAAGGACAGGATGAGGCCAAGACAAAAGCCAAGGTCGTCTAGTTAGACACTGGGATAATAGGGTCAGGGGGTGATAGATCATGTTATACTATGAGAGAATGAAAATCTACTTAATTTGAAAATTACCAGGACCATTTTGAGATACACCAAGATTAAGGAAATGGTATTTATTCTACTATGGTAAAATATAGTAAGACAAAATAATACAAACCTTAAACAGAACAGTTAAATACAGAACACAAACCAGCCCAAATATATATAACACTTTCATATGTAAGAGTGTTAATAGAAAGCATGACTCAATACATAGTACCAGGATACCTGATGGACTATTAAGAGAAAACCAAGTCATTATCTTATATCTTAAATACCAAAAGGGCCAGTCATGGCAGCACACATCTGTAATCCCTGCTGAGGCAGGAGGATCACCAAGAGTCTGAAGCCACTCTAGGCTACATAGTGAGTAGAAGGCCAGGCTGGACTACTTGTTATTATCTATAGCCATCTCAGTGTGGAGTGGGGTCTCATTAGGGTTTTAATATGCATTTCTCTGAGAGCTCACAATGTTCAATATTGTTTCATATACTCAGCCCATTTACATATCTTCTTTGAAGAAATGTCTATTTAGGTATTTTGCCCTTTTTTAATTGGGTTATTTATTGTTTTTATTATATTATGAGCACTTTTCATACCAGTATATTCTAGTACTAGTCCCTTATCAGATATACAATTTCCACTGATTTTTCTTTACTATACTACAACCAGTCTTGCTTACTGTAGCTTTTTATTAAATTTTGAAATTTATAAAGGTAAAAGAAGAGTATACAGTAATGGGGTGTGCTTCAGGAGGACCCACACCAATGGCATCACCAGAGAACTTTCAAGAGTTGACATTACAAGGCTGCACTGTATTGGACAATACAATCCCAATATATTTAACATATATCATATTAAAACTAAAGACAGACAGGGCGAGGTAGCACACATCTATAATCCCAGCACTCAGGAGGCTGAGGCATGCTCATGTTCATCTTGTTATGTAACATGCATTTAGTCCATCTGTAAGAGTCACCAAAGTCTTAACAGTTTCAGTATTACTAAAACATCCAAATACCAAATCTCCTTTGAGACTCAAGGCAAACTCTTAGCTGTGAGTCCCTGTAAAAATTGATAATAAAGCTAAATATTTCTAATAATAATACCAGGTAAACATTTCTACTCCAAAAGAAAAAATAGGGAAATAGGAATCAGATCAAACCAAAATCAAACTGCACCAGAGCAAACATTAAATCTTACAGCTCCATGCTCAGCACCTTGGGAACCTTGTGGTGAGATGATATGAACTTCAAAGGGCATGGGCATCCCTACTGCTATGGCCTTGCTAGTTGCAGCCAACATAGATTCCCTCTTGGGCTGGCTCCACTCACTGCCTGTGGTTTTCTTCAATAGACATTTCCCTTTCCTGACATCTCCAACTCCCTGAGGTCTCCACTGCACCTTTTGCTTCACTCTCAAAGTTTTAAACTTTATTTTCCCAAGGGGTCCTGGCAAGAACTGTAACCCTGTCAAACAGTTTTGTCTAACCTCCCAGGTAGTCTTTTGAAATCTGTTTGGAAACTTCTGTGACCCCATAACTCTTGCATTCTGCCTGCTTGAAAAACCAGCACAAGGTCCGCTGCCAGGTTAACCAGTAGCATGACCCCTTTGAACCATGGCTGCAGTATCCTCTGAGTGCTTGGATGGCTGAACTAGGGAAATACTTCCCTAGGTGGCCGTGAATGAGCAGAATGTCCTGGAGCCCCCTTCTGAAAGCAAAGTCTTTTGAAGGTATTTATCCTTTTTTACCTTTAAATTTGTAATGAGTGGGGTCTGGTCATATCTGACATGCCCTCAAAGTATCTATCTTGCTGTCCTGATATAAAGTACTTGGCGTATCTTTTCAGCAACCATACTTGGCCCCAACTTTATAGGCCCTTCCTTTCTGGCCAAGCTGTAAAATCTTCATATCTTTCATGTCGCCATTTTGCTCCTGATTCTCACTGTAGATCTGGATAAAAGCAGCCAGCAGTATTTGTGTCACACCCACTCAGTTGCCTTAAAATTTCCTCCACCAGAACTTCAAATTCAGTCTCACACAAAGTCTTAGGACACAGAAAAAATACAGACAACTTATTTGCCAGAATGAAACACACAGGTCCTCTAGTCCAGTTTAGAATACAGTCCTATTCCCAGCTAAAACTGCATGGGCCTGGCCTTTACTGTCCACATTCCTATCAGCATTCTGAGTTTCTGAGATTCAACCAGAACTGTAAATCAAGCTCTGCTTATAGTATTCTAGAGCTTCTCTAGCCTGCATCTCCCAATTTCTCCCAAAAACCAGTTGCAAAGGCTTCTAAACCACATGGCCAGGTATAGTCACAGCAACAACTCTATTCTTGGTACAAATTTTTTATATTAGTCACTTTTCCTGTTTCTAGAACAAAACACCCAACATTCACAATTTAAAGGAGAAAAGGTTTATTTTGGCTCACAGTTCTAATGGGTTCGGGTCAAAATCAGCTGGCTCCAAGGCAGAAAGGGCCTGATAGAGGACAGATGCTCACACTATGGCAGCCAGAGAGAGAGAGGGAGAAGGGGAGAGAGAAAGAGAGAGAGAGGGAAAGAGGATTCAGGGATAAGAATACACCCTTCAATTCCAATTTCCCATTGACCTGCCTCCTCCAACCAGGCCCCATTTCTGAACACATGAGACTTGGAGAGAACATTTTAGATCTAAACCATAACAATGGATGACCAACTGCATTCACTGAATACAGTGAAATTCTTTTTATACTGGAACTATATTGAACATATTTTTGTAGAAATAAAAAAGATACCCAAGACAACAAAATGAATGACAAATTGAAAATTCTGGGAATGCTTTGACCTAGCCATCCCACTTTCAGGCATTTATACTACAGACGTATTTTCCCATATGTGAAAAAATATTCTTATTCACTTGATACTGAAAAAATTTCTCTTAAAAACCAATTGTATTAGTAGTATAGCTTGTGGCTTATTATACAGCTATAAAAAATAATATATTATGGAGGGAGATATATTATGGAGAAAAACAAGATGAATGTGTATGACATAATACTTCTATGTAAAAATAAGGGGCAAATAATTTTATAATTTGTGTTTACATAAATAAATACCAGAAGAATGACCTCAAATCAATAAAAATCCTTACTTCAAGGAACAAGAACTGTTTTGTAGTTGATGGGAATGAGAGTCTTCATGTAAGTTTTTCTATAATGTATACCTAGAAAATTATAAATATATAATATGTTATATAATAAATGTATATAACATATAATAAATGTAACCCTTTTTAATACCTGCACTTGACTATATGATCAAGCTGGATAATGAAACAGAGCACAATCAGTCCCCAGAAGATCCCCTCAAGATTTCATCCAGAGACTAGGGGCACAGCTCAGCAGTAGCACTTTTCTAGCACATGTAAGGCTCTGGGTTGAATCCCCAGCACCACAAAAAAAAAACTCCTTTCAGCCACTCCATGCCTCCCACAAAAATAATCATGTCTAATTGGAAATGTTTGTTTTGTCTGTTTTTAAACTTTATACAAATGAAACCATAAAACACACAATACATATTCTTTTTTGTTTTACTACACTTCAGTCCTCTGAGGAAATACTTATTTTATAATGAATAGATATACAGTAGATCATTCATCTTTAGTGCCAAATTATTATTCTGTAGCATGTGTAGCCCACAGTTCACATTTCCAGTCTACAATAATGAGCATTTGAACTGGTTCCAGTGTGGGGCTATTACAAATAATAATCTATTGACATTCTCCTTCATGCTTCTCAATGCATAAATTTCTCTGGAGTATAAACCTAGGAGTGGGACTCCTAGGTCACAGGGTAGGCATATATTTAGGTTTAGTAGCTATTGGCAAACAATTCTCTGAAATGATTATACCAACATACATTCCTACCAGCACTGAAGTTCCAGTTGATCTGCATCCTTGCCAACATGTAGTGCTGCCTGTCGTTTTAGTTTTGGTCATTCTGGTGGGAATGTAGTGGAATTGCATGTGGCTTTTATTTTCATTTTCTTAGTAACTAAGGAGAAGGTGCTTAATTTCATCAGTCATAAAGCAAAGATCAAGTAATTATTTTTATGTAGTAGTAGGTATGAACCCAAGCCCTTCACACTGAACTACATTCCCAATCTTTTTAAATTTTTTTACTTTGAGACCAGATCTAGCTAAGTCACTAAACTGCCCAGATCAGGCTCAAACTTGTGATCCTCCTGCCCCAGCCTCTCAGAGTGCTGAGATTACTGGCATACACCACCATGCAGCTAAATATCAAGGAATTTTGCATGTTAATGTATTACCCATTCAGAAAATACATAAATATTTTAATTGTCTTTTAGAAAAACTCCTGACTCTAGAGTCTGCCCTGCAAAGATCAAAGCACATAGATAACAGTGTGTATATGTCTATACAATGCAGATATATGTATGTAGGTATATTTTGTATGTGTATAGTTGTGTCTTACTGATTAGTAATGACCTCTGATTAACAGATTCTTCTACAAAAGCCAAACATAAAAGGGAAACATGAAAAACCCACAATCTCAGTAAGGGAACAATAGTCCCAGCTTCTTGGTAGGGCTCAAAAGCATTTTTCTGAGCAGCCCCCTAGGAATCTCCTTACCTCCTTCTCCTTCAGAGGAATATAATATGGAATGTTGGCCTGGAGCTGATTAGGAATTAAGAACCGGAACTTGTTCTCTGTTTCAGTGGAGATCTTCATCCCACTGGATTGGGGTGGCCGATGACCAACAAATATGCAGTAATCTTTGATGTCCCATATCTAGGCACAAAGTATGAGTTAATGGCCTATCACCCTTTGACCCCACCCCCAACTCAGTCTGTGGGTTCCTCCCAGACCATTCCTCTTTACTCTGGGAGCAGTTCTTAGTTACACCTCTGAAATACATAGCTACTCAGGACCAGAAGGGGCCTAAGACAGATCCCCTGGATAGCAGGCAGAGGGGGTGTGGCTGGTTCCAGTTCCTGAGGCAGCTGGTCACAGATAAGCCACATGCTAGGAGATGAAGGAGATGTGAGAGGACATTCTGGAACATAGGCTTATGAGGAAATCTTCTTGCGGGTAGGGGGCTTCTAAACAACCCTCCGCTCATTTCACTGGGCATGTCAGAGTAGAGGAGGACTCCTAAGTAATCCACCCTACTCCCCCACATTGTTTTACACATGACTCCAGACCCAAATGGAGTAGGAACTAGTTAAGAGCCACATGGCTGGCCCCAGCCCCTTAATCTTCTTCCTCACCTTGATGCGTCCTTTGCAATCTCCCGTGATAAGGATCCAGTCATTTTCATCAGTGGTCATGGCACCCACAACATCCCCATTATCTTCCAGGTCCACAGGGAACTTCCCTAGCAGGCCTCCATTTCCATGGATGGACCAAGCATAGATGTAGCCATCGATGCAGCTGCTCAGCATGGCAGCCGTGTGTGGCAGGCGAGGCCTGGTCTGCAGGAAGATTATCTATGCAAGAGAGGTGGCCCTGGCTCAGCAGGGCTTTGAACCAAGGTTTAGCCTGGCCTCTGCTGAGGGTCCTGGGCAAGTCCCCATACCTACCTGGTTTCCCAATATCCAAGATGCCTTTTCCTATCTCCCCGGTGATAATAACATATACAGGAATATGAGCTACTTGAGGGAAGGGATTTTTAACCAAAAAATGGCTAGACCTAATAAATCACTTCAGCAAAGTAGCAGGACCCAAAGCTAATAAACAACCTGCTGCATTTCTATTCACTAAAAACGAATAATCTGAAAACAAATTAACACAGACAATTCCATTTACAATCGCATCAACAGAATAAAATACTTAGAAATAAACTTAATGAAGGAAATAAAAGATTTGTGCAATAAAAGCTACAAAACATTGCTGAAAGAAAGACATAAATAAACGCAAACATATAGTCATGGATTGGAAAACTTAATATTGTTAAGATAGCAATACTACCCAAAACAATCTACTGATAAAATGTAATTCATATCAAAAACCTATTATTCTTATTGCAGAAGTAGAAAACTCTGCCCTAAATTCATACGTAGTCTCAAGGGAACCTGAACAGGCAACACTGCTCTGCAAAGGAAGAACAACCCTTGAGGCCCCACATTTCCTGACATCAGAAACTTACTAATGAGCTACAGTAATCAGAGCAGTGTGCTCATGTACAAAGACAATCACATAGATAAATCAAATAAAATAGCCCCAAAATAAGCCTTTGTATAAAAGGTCAAGTGAATTTCGACGAGAGTTCTGAGACTATTCTGTGAGAAAGTATTTTCAACAAATGGCTCTGTGAAAACTAGATATTTATATGCAAAATAGATTCATCTATCTATACCATGTACAAAAATTAAGGCAAATGGATTAAAAACAAATTTAAAACCAATAGATTCTTAGAAGGAAAAAGATCAAAAGCTTAACAACAGTACATTTGACAGTGGCTTCTTGGATATGATACCAAAAGCATTGGCAGCGAAAGAAAAACTAGGCAAACTGGACTTGATAAAAAATTTTAAAATGTGTGCATCAAAGAAACAGTATCATTGCAGCATTAGTGACAATAACTAACCTGCAGAAGGAACCAAACCCAAGTGTCCATTGACAGACACGTAAGCAAAATGCAGTATGTACATACAGTGGAATAGCATTCAGCTTTAAAAAGAAAGAAAATTCTGACATATGCCAGGTACAATGTAAATGAGCCAAGAGAACATTATACTAAGTAAGCCAATCATAGAAAGGTGAATATGATTCCAATTACATGAAATATTGGAGTAGTCAAAATTAAGAGAATGTAGCTGAAGGGAGAAAGGAAAGGCAAGTTATTGTTTAATGGGCACCCTTGTCCCATCCCTCCTGACTCCCTCCCTCCAAGGGCTCTGGACCCTCTCCTAGGCACTATCCTAAAAAGCTGTGTTCTGCTCACAGCCCACCTCCCCACTTCTGAGAAGGGACTCGGCTGCTCGAGGAACAGTGAGGAAGGAAACGGGACACATGGAGGACTGGAGTAAGAGGCAGCATCAGCAAGAAGCACACTTGTCCACCAGAGTGTCACACATGCATGTGCATACACACACACACACACACACGCGCGCGCACACACAAAATGCCATCATGGTGACTGAAATCTCACCAATACACATTCAAGCCTTTGTACACAAATATGCAATTGAAAATACAGTCAAGATTCGTGATGCAAGAACAGGTTAAAAGCTGGGCATGGTGGTGCATGCCTGTAATCCCAGCACTCAGGAAGCAGAAGCAAGAGGACTGCTGTGAGTTCAAGGCCAGCCTGGGCTACACAGTAAGTTTGAGGCCAGCCTGAACTGCATAGTAAAACCATCTCAAAAAAAAAACTACAAAAAAAAAAAGTTAGAAAAACAAAGAATTCCAAACAGTAATTATACAAAAAATTAAACTATATGAAGAATTAAAAGAAGTCAGACCCTTAAAACAGACAAACTTGGACTCAGGCCCTGGCTCGGCCATGTTCTAGCAGATTCACAGGCAAGTCACTTCACCTCGTTGAACCTATTTTTGTCTATAAAATGAGAACAGTGCATACCACCTGGAGTTATTTACAAAATAAAATAAAAATAATTTCTATACACCATCAAGTTCACTGTCTAGCAGATATTAAGAGCTCGATAAATATTAGCTGCTACTTATGTTATTATTAGGCTGAAATGTAACGCAATTTAGCAAAAGCTTTCCAGGAGTGTAGCTTGAGCTTCTAAGCTTGAGGTTTGACTCCTGGGAAGTAGAAAAAAAAGTCCAAAATGTATGTATAAAGATGTTCACTGCTGTAATTTCTAGAAAGGCAAAACCTAGAAACTTAACCATCTGCCAGTGATAGCGGACACTGGATAAACTCCACGGAGGCTGCCAGAGTACCCCATGGCTAGGAAAGGAAAGCTGTGGCTACACAAAGGCCATCAGGGAGACAGAGCCCAGCAGGCAGCAGGGGAGAAGGAGCAAGTTGCAGAATACGTAGGAGAGAGCCCTCATTTACATACACGGCCATATGTATGTGCTTGTGTATGCACAGGAAAAAGCCCAGAAGGCTAAGCGGAGTCTCCTCTGGAGACAGGAGGGAGAAGGCCATCCTCCCTTTAACATTATATACTCCTACAGAGCTTGAATCTTATAGTTTCAATGAAGGACATGTACTACTTTCTAATTACAGAGAGACAGAAAAATGTGGAGTGGAAGGAGGGAGGGGAAGGAAGACAGACAGACAGGTTCTTTCTTGGACATTCCAGAGAAGCTTTTCTCGGGGGGGCCTTTGTACTCACTGTCCCCTCTGCCAGGGTCACCCTCCTCCCAGACAGCAGCAGGCCATGGTCCTCGCTGCTTCAGGGTGTTATAGCACCATGCCAGCCTCGCCACCCACACCCGTCCTCCCTTCTTCCCAGCTTCCTTGTTCTCTGCTGCAGTGCTCGCTTTCTCACTCTGTGCAGTGCCTTCACCTTAGCTGCCGGTCAGATGTCTGCCTCACTCCAACCACAGTGTCCTTGCCTCGAGGACGGGGGTTGGTCTTTGTCCACCGGTACCTCCCCAGAGCCTGGCAGCTGACAAAAGCTCACATCTGTGCCCTCATAGCACACATCATCACCAGCCTGACCGGAGTCACAGATTGAAAGGGCTGAGTTTTCTGGCACTCCTGCCCTGAGGACTGTCCCTGTGGTGTGCGCACAAAGTGCCCAGTGAGTATAGGGAGGACACTCAGTGCAACACTTTTCAGAAAAGCTAAGAACTGGCGTTACCTACATGTCTGTGAACAGAAGAGTGGCTCAAAGTTTATGCAGTATCCAAATGTTGGGGTACTATGCAATCAAAATAATAAAATGACAAAATAAGATGCAATGAAACATGAAAATATATCCATGAAATATACATGGTTTTAAAACGGCTCGGGTATAGCTCAGTAACAGAGTACTTGCCTAGCTTATGTGAAACCCTAGGCTCAATCCCTGGCACTGAAGGAAAAAGATAAGACATAGTTAAAATTTATAATTTCACATAACTAGTCTTATAGAAAAAAAGTACAAGCTGATCTGTTAGTGACTGCCATTGCTGGGAGTGAGATGGGAAGGATGGATTCAGATAGGTGATCTTTCTTTATTTCAAGATATTTTTAAGAGAGAAGGAAAACCATTCAGAACCTGAAGGTAGGAACAGAAGCCAGTCCCAGCTGCATACCTACACTGTAGGACCACCTTCAAGGAGCCCTTGTTCTCAGCCCCTAGTGCCTGGAGCTCAAGGACAAGACAGGCCTGCCATGCCCTAACACAGCTATGATGCTTTTCTCAGGAACGAAAGAAGTGTCACAGTGAAGGAGTGTCCAGGGTCAGAAAGGGGAAGATATAGAAGAGATGAGGACAGAGATGGACCAGCCCCACTCACACATACACAAGGCACCTTTGCAGGTCGGAGAAGGCATTCCAACAATGGGTTCTGGAAATGCCACTTCTACCCCAAGGCAAACCCCCAGCCAGGAGGGGAGACCACTCCCCTCTGTATGCAACCTGCCTGGAGAATGCTCCCCAGACACAGCAGCCCTGACTCCAGAACCCTGCATGGCACCATCCTCTCCATGATGCCTCCCGGGCACCGGAGCCAGTCTAGCTAGGGCCCCCTAGCCCAGGGACCCCAGCCCAACCCTGACTGTCCACACCGTGGCTGAGCATAGCCAACCTTCTCCACTGATGCGTTGGATTGCAGCACCATTTTCTTCTGGGGCTCCTTTTTTCTTAATTCAGATTCTCTGTGCAATGACCATGTGTTAAGAAGCTTGTCTGATGACTTGGATCTGCCAGTGCTAAAAGATACCTGGAAAGAAAGCCAGGCCTCCCAGGTCATATAAAGGTGCCTTCCTTCTCCATGAGGGACAGAGATCAGAGGCAGATGATAAAAAGTGGCCACCCTGTGACACGCTCAGTAGATACCATGTGAAAAGCCAGCAGCCTATCTGATATGTGCTGGGCTTCAGACACTCTGAGGCTGGGGAATGCCCATTTTTCAGTGACAAGTTTTTATTCTCTAGAGAAAGGACTTGAGTTTGCCTTTGCAGAAGACCCTTTCACAGAAGTGGTCACTCTGGCTAAAAATGAGGCCAGATAGGCCTACCACTGTTAGAAACTCCAAAGGCAGTAGCATAACCCTGACCTTCCAACACTGGTATAAGTGTCTTATGGTATTGTAAAGTGTGTGTGTCTTACAGAGGAATTACTCCCAGCAGATCATTCTGGAGCTGGGTCTACACTGCCCTATGTTTACATGTGTTTGGAAAAGGTGTTTGGAGCAGGAACCAGCACTCAATTAAAGAAACAACTGGACTGATTCCTCCAGCACCACAACAAAAGACCCCTGGACTCATGGCTAGGATACTGTAGCCACATCCCTGCAGCTGTGAGGCAACAGTTCTTCCTGCTCCTTCTCCCTATCCCCAAAAGAGAACTGTTAGTCATTCTTAGTCCTTCTCAGAAGAGCCAATCCTGGGGAACATCCCCAGCAGTGCTCAGAGGAAGAGGATAGTGCTTTGCTGCCTCTTGGCTCACACCCTTGTGGCCTGGGCTCCAAAGTGGCTAGGCTTGCTTGGAGCCCCTGTGGGGCACTCTTGGGTAAACACCTGGCACTTGAGCTTGAGGACTGAAAAAGCAGCACAGGCTCTAGCATCTGCTTTTAGGTTTTCAGGGTTGCGGTCTCCTCAAGGCCTGCCTCTAAGTTTTCAGGCTCTAGAGCCTGATGTGGCAGCACTCTGGGAAGTAGTCGTGCCCCGGCTTGAGGCAGCGCAGCAGGTTAGACACGGTGGGACCACAACAGGGAGGCACTCTGCCTGCCCACGTTGCTCCAAACGAGTGAGTGGGTGGGAAAGTACCTTTTCCAGACACCCTGGAAAAGTGTACCAAATAAGGAAACAAGCACACACCAAAGACAGGTGGGAGGGGCTCTCTCACCTGGTAGGACAGAGGCCTCTCTGGCTCCTTGGAGCCTGAGTGTCTCATCAGCACAGGAGCTGACATCAGGGTCCGCCTCAGGCTGGCCTTTTCCACAGCCCTCCAGCAAGAGCCAGGGAGCTTCATGGTGGTCTTGTGTGCCCACCTCCTCTCTATGCAGGTTTTTCTAGGCCCATGGCTGCTGGCCACACATTCCTCCGTTTCTCGGACCTGTGCTGGGAAGAGAGCACCCCTGAAGGCATCGCAACGTCCTAGAGGGAAACTCAGGGCCTCCCTAGTCTAATGCCAACACCTCTGGGTCCTCCAGTTGCCTGAGGACTTGCTTTCCAGAAACCTCACACCCTCGAGCCTTCAGAGGAAAGTTCATAACCCATCCCTGTGCCAACCACTAATGCCCTAAGTCCCCAAAGGCAGGAGGAATATGGTTTCTGTGCGGAACCTAGTCTCCCCAGCTGTAACATGAACAGTGGTTTCCAAAGCTTTTTGATTGTTCCTAACCTGAGGAAAGTCACAAGTGTAAAAGAGATAAAACACTGAACTGTTCTTGGGGAAGCCCCATCCACCAGAGCCCCTCAACTCTGCAGTAGCTTCCAACCATCTCTCCCAGCACATCTGGAAAACCACGGCACAATTGACCCCTCAGGACCCTGCCAGCTTTAGTATTGTGTGACATGGTAATTCCAAGCCTGTACAGGTTTCCTGGGCCCCCACCTTAAGCCTGGTAACCTCAGAGCAGTAACATTAACTGTGATGAGTGAGATAGGAGCTTTCTCCAAGAAAATTAGAAATAACAGAACTAGAGCCAACAGGCTCTGCAGTCAGACTGCCTGAGTTTGGTTCTATACCATCTTGGCTGTATGGCCTTAAACAAGGTGTTTAACCTCTTTGTGCCTCAGCTTTCTCATCTGTCAAATGGATATAATCATAGAAATTACCATATGTCCTTATAGCTCCCAGCCCCTGCAGAGTACATCATTTGCCCTCCCTCCCCTCCCTGATCCTGACCCCAGCTGAGACAAAAGTCAGAGGGAGTCACTGTGACCATACCTTCACAGGCTGCAAGGGCAGGGGGCTCATGGAGGCGTTGAAGTTCAAGATGGGCTTCATCATGTTGATGTTCCAGAAGAGGATGTCCCCATTGTAGGAGGAGGTCGCAAGGAACTGGTTCTGGTACTTGGCCATGCAGAGCACGTCCTCCGTGTGGAAGGTCTGCCAGTGGTGGCACAAAAGCACTGGCTTGGTCTTGTGGAACCTGTGCACACAGCCAGGGACAAGAGGGCAAAAAGCATAGCCTTTAATGCTCTTTTGGGAGAACCATGGCCTATCAGAGGCTGTGAGCCAGCTCAGAAGAGAAGCTTTCAGGTGTTAGAGCTAGTCTGAAGCTCTGCCTCCCTTGACCTCATTTCCTAAACTCTTTCTGTGTGCCTGCTAAAAGGGTCTGTCCACAGGATTCCAGAGTATTAATCCTAATCCACCGCCATTCAGACACCTGGTAAGGAGTAGGGGAAAGCATGGGAAATCACAGCCCCACAAAGGCCCTCTGAAAGGAAGGACCTGGCATGTGGTCGTCCACCTTGTGACATGGTCCTATCCCAAGCGCTTCCCGATGCCCCCCTCCCCCTGCTCACCCTTCAGGTCCTCCCACCAATGATATTGCCAAGCTAGTCTGATGGTTCCCAGGACTAGAGCAGGTTTCCATCCCCACCCCACTGTAGAATCTTCTACTTTTTTGTTCATAGCACTCCATATACTTCATGAGTGAAATTATTTAAATACTTGACAGAGACAGTGTTCTCCCGAAATTCCCCACAAACCTAATCCCCAATGTGAGGGAATGTGGAGGTGGGGCCTTTGGGAAGTGATTAAGTCACAAGCACAGAATCCTCATAAATGACACTGGAGCCCTTGTAAAAGAGGTATGGTGGCTCACACCTGTAATCCCAGCTCCTTGGATGAGGCACACACTAATTCTGTTCCTTGAGAAAGACATCAGTCTTGAGGGGGATAATCTAGCCAAGCCAGGCCAGGGACTGTCGCTGGCACAGCCTGACGCCTAGAAGAATGTGTTTTGCATGTGAGAAAGACACAGATTTGTAAAAAACAGAAGAGGAATGCATGGGACAATTCCATGTGCTCCCAAAATTCATGTAATAAAATCTATTTTCACAGCTAGATGTGGTGGCACATGCCTATAATCCCAGCATTTAGGAGGCAGGCAGGAGGATCACCTCAAGTGCAAGGCCAACCTGAGCTACATAGTGAGTTCAAGGTTTAAGGGCAGCCTGAACTACATAACAAGACCCTATCTCAAAAAATGAACAATAAAGCCAGGTGTGGTGGTACACACCTGTAATCCCCGCACTGGAGGCTGAGGCAGGAGGATCGCTGTGAGTTCAAGACCAGCCTGCACTACAAAGTGAGTTCAAGGCCAGCCTGAACTGCATCATGAAGCCCTATCTTAAGAAAGACAAAAAAAAAAAAAAAACCGATTTCCCAATGTGAGGGTGTGGTAGAGCCTCATCTTGCAAGATGATGAGGTCATAAGAATGGAACCCCATAAATGGAATTAGTGCCCTTTTAAAAGAGGTTCCAGAGAGATCCTTCAGCCCTTCCATCAGGTAGGTTATAGCAAGAAGAGAGCTTTCAGGCTGAAGTGTAGCTCAGTGGTAGAGTGCTTGCCCGGCAGACAAGAGGCCTATATTCCATCACCAGCACCACAAAAGCAGAAGAAGAGGAAAAGGAGGAAGACAAATTTCTATGAACCAGGAAGTGGATCCTCACCAGACACCAAACCTGCTGGTACCTTTATCTTCCCTCAAGAACAGTGTAAAACAAATGTCTTATGTTTATAAGCTTCCTGGTCTATGGTATTCTGTTATAGCAGTCTGAACTAAGACATTGCCCCACGGAGATGTTCCAGAAGGATGAAGATTCCATCATTTTTGCTTATACCCACCCCCAGCATGTAGCAGAAAGCTTAGAATACATCAACCTTAACGAATGATGAGCGAATGGATAGATGAGGAGAAGCAATGGCCCACCACTAATTTCCTGCTTGGTATCTCAGGCACTAAGAAAGGTAGGAGTAGAGGAACCCATAAATTGAGACAGAACAAGCACTTGCCTTATCTGCTCACCATCCATGCTTGCTACTCACATGAAACTAGTGATCCTCTTACTCCATCCTGTCACGTAGTACATTTTGTTCATATGAACAATGCCACTTATCTGTTGAAGATGGAAAAAACAAAACTCTAAAGCTCTGGGCCTCAAGTGTCTTTCTCAATGTACCAAGCAAAAGGCCAAAACTCAATGATGATGACAATTCCCTAGAGTTAAGACCAGCATGAAGGGCCAGGGATACAGCTCAGTGGTGTAGCGCCTGCCTGACAATCACAAGGTCCTGAGTTCGATTTCTAGCACCAAAAGGAAAAATAAAAACAAAACCAGCATGAATTTTTTAGTGTGCTTTCACAACCCATTATCTAACTTAATGGACCTCAGCCGCTGAATTTGATGACACTGTTGCCTGTCTTCATTTTTTGCATAAGAATACAAAGACTCGGACAGGTTTGAAGCCAGGCCCTCTTGACCGTGTCATGCAGCCTTTCAGAGACACACAATAGTGTGTCCTAGGGTCCCAGGAGCTATGGTCTGCTTCTGGCTCCAGCTGGCAGAGCAGACTGACCTCCACTTGATCGGGGTTGGGAAAAGTCAGCAGACACTCTCCAGTGTTGTAGTTCCACATCTTCATCGTGCCATCCAGCAAGCCCGTGAGCAGGCACCGCTCGTACGCATCCAGGGCCATGGCAGTGAGCTCCACGAGCCGGGCACCGGACACGCAGAACTCCATCATCTTCCTCCCCGTCGTGATCTCCCACACGCTGACTGTGCCCTGCTGGCAGCCACTCACCACCTGTTGGGGAGCATACTGCTGGGGCTGCTGGAGGCAAGGACCTCCACTGCGCACAGTAGCTTCCAGCCTGTGCACCACACACTAAGAAAGCATTTTCAGGGCTTCCCTGCAGCAGCACCAGCCATGGCATAAAACGGGCCTTCCCTAGCTCTGTGTCGAAAGTTGGCACTGCTCTTTGAGAAAGAGTCAGTTGGCTACAGTCCCTGTGAACTCAGTCAGAATCTTTCCAGAGAAAATAACCTCTATGTCAGAAAAGATGCTCGCTGAAGCATCATTAATCATGACAAGGGGGGAGAGGGTAAACTAACTGCCCACTCAGCAGGGAAATGCTGACAGTAAAGGACAGTCATGCCACTCAGTGAAACATTTTGCTGCCACCACAATTGTTACAATGCAAGAGTAGCCCATAAAGCTATTTCAGACCAACCCAGCTATTGAGAACATTCAGAAAAACTGGGACAGTTTCAAAAACAAAAGCTATCTGACAGCATTGAAGAGCCCTAAGGCAGTGAGAGGCTGGTGCCAGGATCCTGGATGGGATGGAAAGGGAGAGATGAGCTCTGGCCTTGTGCAGCCAACATTTGCCTTTGCAGCTCACGCAGCCCACCCTGTGCAGATCCCGGGCCAGGCAGGAGGTCCTGCTGAGAGTCGGCAGAGCCCTGCCTTTGCTACTCAGAAATGATTCCATGTCCCTACCCGCTCTGCCCACCCAGAGACCTCTACTCTGGCCCAGAGCACTAACCAGGCTTCCCTCCCTTCCCACATCGAACAGAGCCCAGCTGTGGCCTCCCTGAAAAGTGGTGCTCTGGGACACTACCCAGCATGGGAGGACTGGCGCTTGATCTCATTTTGAGCAAAGAAGCTACCTGTCCAGAAATTATCTGAGGCAGCAGCCCAGGATATGAAGATTCAGAGTCAGAAGATCCAACGGCCAGCACAGGAAACTAAAACTTCAGCCTGCAGAGCTACCTCCTGCCCACATCCTGCTGCCCCAGCACCACCACCACGTTCTAACAACTCTCAGCCTCCACATGCACACGGGTGCACAGAAACCCTGGGTCCTGCCCTGTGTCACTGGCACTCCTGCCAGGCTCAGAGGTGAGCCCTGCCCACTCACCTGCTTGAAGATCTTGCTGTAGAGGACAGCACACAGGGCTGAATTGTGAGTTGTGGTCTTCCCTGATTTCATAGGCCCATGGGCCTCCAAGTACCCTTTCAGGATGCCAATCTGCAGTGAGGAGAGGGACAGACAGCTGAGAAGTGACTAAGACCCCCCTTTGACAGATCACAGAGAACAGTTTCCAAAAATCAAGATACCCTGATTGCATCCAGTTAGGCTCCCTACTCCTCAGGGGCCTGCTGAGACGCCCACAAATACTCCACAGCGCCCACTCGTGGGATCGGGCCTCCAAACCTTGGTGGTCCATCTCAGCTTATGACTCCTGAGTAGCTACATCCTCACTTAGGTGTTCCCTCCAGGAAGTCTCTCTGGACCAGCCTGGCCTCAGGCTAGGCAAGGATCTCTCTCTGTACTCCTGAGGCACCTAGGATCCAACACTTTCATGACAAAGAACTTTCTACTAAACTACCTGGTTTTCTTCTAGGATAGCGCCTCATTAATATTCTCAGCTCCCCCACGAAAAACAAGAGTTGATAATGTTTCATACCTGAAATGAACTTGAAAATTCTGTTTGACAAGTGCCAATAGCCAAGATCTGGCACTTAGCAAAGAGGCGGAGAAACCCACAACCCTCCTCCTTTTCTCAATAAACTGCAATCTGGGGGAGAGCCGGCCAAGTACACAGGAGGACATCTGTGTCCCCTACCAGAGGGGCCTGGCCGATAGAGAGTGAAAACTTCAGTGGAGCTCGGTCACAGAAGATACTCTCCTCCCCTTTTTCAGTGGAAACTCTCTGCCTCCTGCTGGTTCCCCTTGCAGCCCCCCAGACTCCCATCTGGGCAGAGTTCCCACCGCCATTCTGGCCAGTCTACCCTTTGTGTTTGTCCCAGTCTCCTGTCCTCCAGGGTTGGACAGACCTCATGTGGGCACCAGCAACACCCTAACTCACAAGCAGTCTTCCTGACAGCTTTCTCAGGGCCTCTCTTTCAGGAGCTGCTAGGCATGGGCTCCACCTTCCTGGAGAGTCCCACATCCTGACAGGGCCAAAGGGGCATGGAGGAAGGTCTTGCTGGGAAAGGTGGGTTTCGAGATAGAGAGCCCCCAGAGGGATGCACAGGTGGCAACTGCACAGATGCAGCAATGAGGGACGATGGGCCAACTCAGAACACACCCCCAGGAAGTTGCTAGGACCGGCCAGCAACTTTGGCAACCTCAGGAGGGACAGGCCATGATATGCTCTTGGCTGTCCCACGGGACATGAGAGCCTGGCTGCAGTGCCCCCTTGCTCAGGGCAGCACTTACAGAGTAGGTACTGCAGATGAGGGTACTGCCATTGGTGTGGAAGTAGGCACTGGTGATGGGGTAGTTTCCCAGGGCAAAATGCTTCCCAGAGAAGGTCTGGAGGCACACGTAGTCCTGCAGGTCCCACACACGGATGTTCTGGGAGTAGAAAACAGGTGAGAAGCCCCTAAGGCCCTGTGGATATCCCTGTGAGCAAGCACTTCTAATGCACACCCCCTGCGCTGGGTTTGACAGGAGCACAGCTGCGTAATGCTCATACAACCCAGGCACGTGGTGATCAAGGACACAGCCATGGGCCTTCAGGCCTCTACCCTACTTGAACTCTTAACCCCAGAGGCCGAGGACAAAGACAGCAGGCAGCCTGCACCCCTGCCCCAGACCCTCACTTGTTCCCCCTCTGCCTCATACTAGAAAAGCCAGCCTAGGTCAGAGAGTGGCTACCAATAGAGGAGCCCAAATGGCCTGCCCTTTCCCAGCATAGCCCATTTTACATTCTTCTAAAGAATGTTCCCCAGGGAAGCCCTATAGCAGGCCCTCCAGGATTCATGAGGCTCACAGGCATCCACAGAGTGCTGAAAGCCTGGACTTGGGGTGTGACAGACCCAGCCCATCACTAACCTTGAGGACCTCAGCAAGTCCAGCCCTGTCCTTTCACCCCTCCAGCCTAGATCCTTCACCAGCCCACAGGTTACTGGGAGAATTCCATAGCAACATACATAAGGAGGAGCAGCATATGTACTAGGAGGGTAGCCCAGTGACCCCAAGGCCCCTGACAATTCTCTCTACTAGCATTAGTCCCAGAAAAACAAACCTGTCCACTGTAAGAGGATACCCAGAGCTGTCAGCCACATCCCCACTCTAGCAGGGATGACCTGAGCAGCCAGAAGATGGGGCAATGCCCTGGACTAACAGCTGCTCAGGAGAGAAGTGCTGGGCCCAAGTAGGGGAGCCTGGGCACCCAAGTAGCTGAAGAGGGGTCACTGGTAGACCTAACATGTACAGATCTAGGGTGGGGGTAAGGGAGACAGGGGAAGGGATCACAGATATCACACACCTATTACATGGAGATACTGCTTCCACTACCTGTTTGTTCACCTATGAACTATTCAGCAACCCAATCTATGGAAGAGGAGGCTAAGGCTCAGAAAAGGAAGGAACTTGGCCAGGGCCACAAAGTAACAAATCAGGCTAGGCTACATAGGCCCCAGTTCAGACAGACTGATCAGAGCTGGACTCAGGCATCTCTAAGGGTTGTCAGAGACCCATGCCCACCTTCATGGTGATTCTACCTTGGGTTCCTTCCTCTTGGCCTTCGGCCCTGTGTGAGATAACGGGTAGGGAAGTTCCCCTATACCTCTGAGCCTCAGACTCCTCCCATAATTGACCCTCTGGGGCTGGCTGAGCTAGATTATTTCTCCTAAATTCAGTGTCATTCCCCAAGGAACAGAACTGATCGGGTGGCATGGGGTGGGATAGGGCTTGCTCCATGAGTGTGGCACCTTGTCCCTGGAGATACTGATGAGGATGTTGCTGTTCTTGCTGTCCACGATGATCTGTGTCACTGAGGTCTGATGTCCCTTCATCAACCACACAGGCCTTTTTGAGATGAAGGGGTTCCACAAGCGGATGTGGGAGTCATATCCGCCAGTTACTAGGGCCAATATATGGTAATTAGTTACCAGGGGCCTACACTGGGGACCTTTTTCCAGAGCCAAGACCTTGGGCCCAGCCAGGTCCGCTAGGTGGGGAGAGGCTTCCCATGACCCATCACTGTCCCTTTTCCCCCATCCTCTCTACCACTGTTCCCTGCAAGCTTATATCAGTGGTAATGAAGCTATGGCATGCCTGCCGCAGTGGGCTGTATCACTGAAAGCTCTAACAGGTTCACCATCACTGGCCTCCAACACCATACTGCCCCCTGATGCCCATGAGTGGGAACAAGCATGGCAAGAAAGGAGGCCAGACAGATGCTTCTCCTGGGCTCCAATGGTCCCAAGGCCCCCATGACCCCTCATACTGGCTCTACTAGGCCAGCAGCATCTGGGGGGCATAAAGATAACTTACCCAGGAAGTTCTTGTCTGGGCAGTAATCAAAGCAAAGAATTCCTTTTCTTAAATTCAGTATTGAAAACCTACAATAGCAAAGGGGTAAGTGCTACTGGGAGCAATGGGCTAGGCTCTGAGCCCAGCCTGGGTCCTGGAGAAGCCAGAGGCAAGGGCACGCACGAGGCCTGGGGAAAGTCTCTACCTCTCCATTCAGAGACAAAAACAGCTTCAGAAATTTCCCAGGGCTCAACCTGCACCCAAGGCAGGGCCAAGCACTGCAGGCCAAGTAGGAGGCCAAAACCAGCAGCCCACGGAGGAGACACCCCCTTCCAGGTGAGCACAGAGCCAGAGAAGGAGCAGCTCCTTACTTGTAAAGACTTCTGCTTCATCCAAGGACAAACACACAATTTTTACATCCATTATCCTGGGACAGGTAGCCTCTGAGCCATGCTACAAATCAAGGAAAGAAGGGACTCTCCAGGGCAGCGGGTGCTATGCCCTTACTATGCACTGGTCCCTGTGCTTGGTGCTACCTCTCAGGTCACTTGGCTGTCCCCTGACATCATGAAGAGTACCATCAGTCCCAAGCTAGGGATGAGAACACTAAAAGAAGTTAAGGCACTTGCCCAAGGTCATATAACTAATCAATTGTGTGGTCAGTATTTGGCCCCAGGGTGGGCATGGCAAGAAGTGACCATGGCTTGGCAATAAGCCACCCAGGAAAGGTGGCATGGCAGGGCTGGGTAAGGCTCGGAGGGTCACAGTGATCTAGCCAGGAGTTTTAGGATTGTTGGGACCCTCACAGGTGCCCTTGCTGCTGCTTCTCCTCCACAGCTTCATGTTTGCTGGCTCCTTTTGTGTAATTCTCCTTCTGAACTTGGTGCAAAGAGCCTGTCATGGGCACTCCTGCCTTCTAAAGCAGCTTACCTTCAACTGAACCGGCCCACACAGGTGTCGTCCTAGGGATACAGTGGCTCCCATAATCCACCTAGGCCTGTTCCTCCTCGCCCACTTCCCCTCATGCCATGGCCTCTGCTTAGCTCAGCCCCTCTTCGCTTCTGAACTGGCCCCCCAGCTGATTGCTTAACCTCCAGTCTTGCTCCTGCTCAAGTCTCCTCTGGACTCCACAGCTTTAAGAATTGTCTAAAAATCAAAGCTTCTGGAAGAACCTACTTATTTCCTTTATTTTCAAACCAAATATACCTCCCTCCAGGAATTTATATGCAAATATTCTGGAAGAATGGGCACCAAAAGGTGAGCAGGAATAATTTCAGTTGATTGACTCATTCACTCAACAAAGATTTGTTGGCTCCTACTCCCTGCCAGAATTCCAGTGGCACCATGATGATGCCCATGCCCTATGCAGCTGTCCTTCTGGAGGGAAATGCAGGAGCAAGAACTTGGACATCGCCAGGTGTGGTGGTGCACACCTGTAAACCCAGCATTTGGGAAGCTGAAGCAGGAGGATCATTGTGAGTTCAAGGCCAGCCTGGGCTACAAAGTGAGCTCAAGGACAGCCTGGACTGCATAGCAAGACCCTGTCTCAAAAAGACCAAAAAAAAAAAAAAAAAAGAAAAAAGAAAAGAAAAGAAAAAGAAAAAAAAAAATAAGAACACAGACAGAGAGACAGGGAAAGGGACCGTGACAAACCGTGGTAAGTCCTGCACAGGAAACAAGGGGTTTTGATGGCAGAAAGCTGAAGGAGACTCGTTTTTCATGCCTCCCTGGGGAAGCTGAAGGGGAACCCAGACCTGAAGCATGAGACAGGACCACCAAGGGGAGAGGCAGGGGGAGGCTTCAGATTGAGGGAGCAGTGTGTGCAAGGCCATGGGCTCCACACTGCTAGACAAGATCTGCAGAGGGCTGCTGTGCGTGGACAATGGCCAGAGGGGACCCAGCAAGCCCCTGCAAGTTCAGTGGGGTGATGACAGTGGCTTCAACTAGGTAATAGCAGCAAAAATGAGGGAAGAGGCGGTGAAAGGCGGAGACAGTGTGGCGGTCAGTCCACACACTCAGTAAGGCCTCTGCTGCCCCACCCCACTCCCCAGCTTCACTCCTGGCTCCAATCGCCCACAGAACTCAGGTGAGACCAGCTACAGGGAAGTGCACACTACCTCAGAGGCTGATGCTCACTCCAGATGAAGTCTGGGTAATGCCACACCCCATCTCAAAAGGCCATCTCCAAGAATAGACCAACAAGTAGCCAATGATGCCACCTGCTGGCCAGGTCATTACACTGCACCCAGACACGAAGGAAAGAAGGGTGTTTATGGGGGCGGTATATATATTTTCCAGCCACCCCAAAATTATATATCTTTAATCCCTCTGTCTCCACCTGCTGGCCAGCTCCAGGCCACCATCACATGCTGAATTACTGCAATGGCCTCCTCACTGCTGTCGCAACTACTCCTCGTTATACATTTGCAAGACCTCAATCAGACCACACCATTCCTCTGCTCAAAACCATCCCAGTACGTTACCTATATCTGCTCCCAGATAATGGTAAGAAGGTACTCTGAGATACCTTGGACAATATTAACTTGAACTAGGCACTAAATGACTAAAATATAATTACACTGTTTTTTTCTATTTTGGGCATTTGAAAATGTTTCGTAATAAAAACATTACTTAAGAAAACAAGAGGATTTCTGGGAAGATGGTACAGTGGTGAGCAGCAGAGAAGGAGCCTGTCTGAGATTTGGTGTCCAAACACTGGAATAAAGCAATGTGAGGAAGAGAAGGAGAGAATCCAGGAAGGATCTGAAGTAAGAACTGAAGCCCACAGGGAGAACCAAGACAGAACCGTCAATAAAGAAAAAGGAGGAGGAAGGTGGCACTTTCTGCCCAAGCCCAGACTCACTGCGTGGAAGGAGCAGCTTGAAACTGCAGGTAAGCGGTGACTGCTGAGGACCCCAAAGGCCCCAGCAGAGAAGCACACCAGTGGAGCAGAGTGGTGGACATAGCAGTCTGCCCTGGCCGGTGAGTTGTCCCATTCAGACATCCCGCAAAAGAGGGTAATTGGCTAAGAGTCGTACTGGAGCAAGACCAACTGAGCTCAGGACTCCAAGCCCACTGCTGGCTCCACCTAGTGGTTCACAGCCAAGTTCAAACCCAGAGGGGGTGAGGGAACTGCAGTGGGCTGGACAGGTCTCACAGCCAGAGGCCAGGCTGAACTTCAGTGGACATACGTGTGCAGGCTCACTTGGATCTGCCCCACCGTGGAGCTGCTGCTGGCTTGTTGGGATTTATGCATGCAGGTCTGGACTCAGTCTGCACATGTTGTCTACCAGCGGCAGCAGAGACAAATCTTAAAATGGACTTCTTTTCTTATTTTCTTTTTTTATTTTCTTTCTGTCTTGTTTTTGTCTGTCTTTTGTTTTTTCTTTGCTATTTGTTCTGTTCTTATTTTTATATGAGACTATGGTTTCTAGACTTTTTTGTTGTTGCTGTTCTGTTCTTTTTGTTCTTGTTTTTATTTCTTCCTTCTCTCTTTCCCTCTTATCTTCTTCACCAGTTTCCCAAAGGTTGTGTGATCCTCCTTTGCCCTCCAGCCTTGCTTCTAATCTCTTACTTTTCTTCTACTTCTCTATTTCCCCCACCCAACCTCTTTTAAATTTTTCTCCCTGAGGTTAAAATTGCCATATTGAGGGCATATTTACTACATACAATTTTCTGGTTTCAGATTTTGTTATATAATCACAAATCTAGTTCATGTGGTTAAAAGTGGGCAAGTTAATAGGTACCTCAGTCTGTCATTTTCTAGGTAGTGTTGGATGCTATTGTTATTGCTGAGTGTACCACTTTAACCAAAGTAACATAATTGTTCTAACCAGTTGTTCTTCCTGGTATACCCAGACTAATGGTCATAAAAAATACTATAAGCCAGTGCCAAAAAACCAGGGACTGGGCCAAGTAGACAGCAACTTCTCATCCCAATAAATTGAAGAGTTAGGATCATGCAACAGACTCAAAACCTAGAAGCCAGCTACACTTGGAAAACATCTCTGAAAAATAGTCATTCCCTAAAGGTTCTAAATATTAGCAATAAACCTATTCATCATACAATTTACAAGCATCAACCCAGGAATTAAACTAAAAAGAAAAAATGAGAAGACACTTAAACAAGATGCAACCCCAGACTTCCAGATAACCAAAGGCAAACTCAGGGTGCAGTGAGATGGAACAATCCAAAAGCCACCCACCTGGACTCTCTAAAGTAGTGACCACAAAGCAAATGAGATGGAATCTCAATGTTGTTTTAATTTACATTTCTTGAATGATCAATGATGTTGAACATTTTTTCATATATTTGTTTGCCATTTCTATTTCTTCATCTGAGAAGTATGTATTCATCTCAGATGCTCATTTTTGGATTGGGTCTTTAAATTGGGGGGTCTCATTTTTTGAGTTCTTTATATATTCTAGATAGTAGTCCTTTGTTTGAGGAACAGCTGGCAAACATTTTTTTCCCCATACTGCAGTTTGTCTCTTCACTCTGTTGGTGGTTTTTTGCTGTGCAAAAACTTTTTAATGAAATATGATCCCAGTTGTTGATTCTTTGTAATAGTTCCTATCAATGTCTTCAAGAGTTCTACCTGTTCTATCTTCCAGCAAATTTAGTGTTCATATTGTTTGACCAATCTTACATGCCTATATCTGGTAACCTGAGCAACTACTTTGAAGATAACAATATGCAATATAGTAACCATTGTTAATTTCCTATCCTCTTGTTTTGAAATTCTGTGCCTTTTTTTTTTTAATTCTCTTTAAAATAAAAAAAAGGAAGCTGGGCCTGGTGACATGCCTATATTCGCAGCACTCTGAAAGGCTGACAGGAGGATCACTGTGAGTTTGAGGCCATCCTGGACTAAATAGGGAGATGACAACCAGCCTAAACTACAGAGCAAGACCCTGTCTCAAAGAAAAGAAAAGGAGAGAAGAAAAGAAAGAAAGGAGAGGAGAAGAAAGGAGAAGAGAAGAGAAGAGAGGAGAGGAGAGGAGAGGAGAGGAGAGGAGAGGGAAGAAAAGGAAAAAGTTCACCTGCAATAGAGGAATTAAGAGTGAACAAAATAGATCAGAATCATCTCCAAAGAACACAGTTGTTCAACACAAACCACCATGGAATGTTAGTCACTCAAGGAATCTCTGAAATACGTGAGGTAAGTGCTGTCATCCCAACTCCTTTTACAGATAGGGAAGCTGAGGCTCACAGAATTAAAGCAACTTGCATACATCCCCTCATTCAGAAATGTCACTTGACTACCTGCTTCCTCTGTGCCAGCTTCTATGTAAACTGGTGGTCAAAGAGCCCTGCTGTAGTCTTGCCATATGGCAATGCTGGGGTGATGACTAAAATCAGAGTCCACAGTCCATGCTCAAACTACTATATCCATCAGCCAGGGACACAACACTGCTTCCCTGGGCCCACAGTGATCCTGTCCTCCACTGGTGCCACTAACATGGATGTGGGTGCTCACTCTACAGGGACACCCACATGTGGCTAAAGTGAAGCCCAAGGTGCAGTCACCACCCATCTCCTCCCACCCCCACTGCTGCCACTGGAGCAGAGATGCTCCTTACTTGGGTTTCTCGAGGTCTTTGGCTGGCAACATTGTCATCACCATAGAGGACTTCTCGACAGCTGAACAGGAGACCACCATGTTCATCTGAGGGACAAACTTGACCTTCTGACACCAGTTGGGATGGAGAGCCTAGGGAAGAGAGGAGTGGTAGTGGGAGATCCTCCCAAGGACAACTGTATTCCAGGCCTGGCCCCTGGAACATGGCCAAGGGTAAAGGCAAGAAGGGACCTAAGACTCTTTCCCTAGTGACCACAGCTTGGAAAGAGTGATGTGGCCCACAATCCTAGCCCAGGTCTAGGGATCAGGGGAGTGTGGTCATCCCTTGTTTCAGAAAATGCTTATAAGTACATGAGCCAAGAATCCTTTGCATTTTATAAGTTAGAGGACAAGTGAGGTTAGGTCCATGTTAGTACCATTCTCTCAAGGGGGAAAAAAGATGGATTCAAGGCTGCCCAGGTCCCCATCCATCCTCCCAGAGAGCCACAAGGGACCTATGCTATGGGGTCACTTCCACCCTCCACATCTGTTCGTGTGGTGTGCTTGTGGAAGAATGGCAAGTGGGAGAATGCGCATCTTGCTGCCACTCTAGCAACAGAAGGATCACACACACACACACACACACACACACACACACACACACACACACAGAGGAGGGAATCTGGTGGCTGACTCTGGGTCCCCAGCTCTGCTCGTGACCTGGACCAGCCTCAACTTCCAAAGTTCATCCTCTCTGGGATGGGAATGGAGGAGAGTGAAGGATGGAGAAGGCCAGTTAGAGAGATCCAATCATCAAACATGGTTCAGGGCCTCCCATGTGCAAAGCCCTAGGCTATGTTTCAGGTCACTATCTCACTGAATGCCTGTCACAATGATGGCATTAATTCCAGGGCACTGAAGGAGACATGGGACACTGAGCAACTCAGATGGAAAACAAAGCCCAAGATGAGATTCTCAGAGAGGAGGAAAGGAATGGGAGATGGTGGGTGCCTCTCCCCGAGAGAATCCCACCTGCTCTAAAGGAAGCACCTAAGAGCTTTGGACCACCCAACTCAGACTTGCTGTAATGGTTGATACATGTGTCAACTTGAGAAGTTTAGAAACTTGTGACTCAGCAGTAGTTCTATATCCTAGGGTACAGAGGAAATGCCCTCAGGTGGCTGTTTACACCCTAGGATGTTGTAATGGTTAACTCATTGTGTCAATTTACATTTAGAAGCTTAACTAAGTGACTTAGCAGTTCTACATCCTAGGGTGTGGAGGACCCATGCTAGGGCGGGTAGCCAGCTTACAATATAAGGGAAGAAAAGAGACTCGCTCTCTACCTTTTTTGCTCTTATTGCTTTTTCTGTCTTCCACTGCCATGAACTGTTGCCCCTCACCATGCCACCCCATTTTGAAACCAGCTGATTATGGACTGAAACCTCCACAGTGAGCTAAATAAATCTTTCCTCCTTTAACTTTGGGAGTCAGGTATTTTGTCTCAGTAGTAAGAGAAAAGTAACTAAGAAACTTGCTCTGAGCATCTCATATTTCATTTGTTCAACAAATGTCCTGGGAACCACAAAGCCCAGAGACTGTTTCAGGCACTGGAGACAGAACAGAGAGCACAACACAGACAGTACCTGTCCTCAGGGAGCTGTAAATCTCATGAGGATAACAGGGCAAAAATAATGGATAGATAGACCGACAATACATAGTAAGGAGTGGTAAACACAGGACAGGATAAAGGCAGAGGCAGGCAGCAGGTTGTTCTAGCTGATTGGTTAGGGCATGAAAAAAGACAGATGGTATACTGGAACCTAGGGAAAGGTTAAAGGTACAGCATGTGCCAAGGCCCTGCAGTAGGAAAGGGCTTGGGCTGTCGGGAGAAGCAAGGAAACCTATGCCTCTTGTAGCAGAGTGAATAAGACATGTGGAAAATAAGACTTGGAACAAGCTGGGGGCCAGATCACCTTGAGCCCTGATGGTTAGGATAAAGACTAGAGGTTTTATTTCAAACATTATGAGAAGGTACTGGAGTGACACAGTTGTATTTCTAATGCATAATTCTTCCAGCTGCTCAATGGAGAAAGCATGGGTAGAGAAAGGAAGTTGGAAAAGAAGCCAGCAGCCCTGCAGTATTCCAGGAGATGAAGTCTGCAGTATCAGAGTGCAGCTATAAAGGCAGTGAGAGATGTGGCCACACTCGGGATATACATGTGTTCTCTAGATGGGGCCATGGGACCCAACAGTGGCCTCCACACTGTTTTTACAGCCTAAGCTCCAAAAGCTAAGACTGAATCCAGGGCATAAACCCACTTTTTGCATTTATTTTTGAGTGGTGCATGCATAAGAATATAATATAATTAACCTGGTAACAGTCAAAGGAAAAAGTAACTTACCGGCAGCCAGTAACTTCTGTACAAAATGGACTTCTCATTTAAGAGTTTCTGCATGGAAACGCTGACCCAGTTATCTGATAAAGAAAAAAACTGAGGTCCACGTCATCGGCTTTCCCCCTCTACCAGATAAGCAAGCTTCAGGTGGCAGGTGGAATGGGAATGCAGCACTTTCATGTCTCAAAAGCTTTGGTCAAACACTCATTGGAGCCTTGCTGTGACCCGGTAACCTCAGCAGGTGTCTCTGCTCCAGTTAATCTCCACCTAGGCAAGTCACACTGCCACCAACATCCCCTGCTGGTGACAAGATTTCAGGACCCGCACTCTCGCAGGTGCTGCAATCAAAGTGAGCCAGTTCTACTGCCAAGTTCCAACTTTGTGGGAGTGGAGAATGAACTGTGACTGTAGGCCACAGTCATCCTGAAAAGTAGTCCTCTAGGCATCTGCCACTGTGCCTTTGGATACATGTGCTCCTTTCCAGAAAGCAGTGCATGAAGTGCTACACGCATGCACCATAAAACAAGCAACTCCAATGTGCCAGGCCCTGCACACAGCGCAGCCCTGCCCTCATGGGCTGGCCTGACAGTCTCCAGACCGCTGAAACCACTCAAGGGCAGAAGCTGGTAAGTCTCCAGGGAAGGCAAGCTGAACACAGGTGGGTGGAGCCTATGGTGCCAGGGGACAAGCATGAACCCACCCTTAGGAGCAGTTTAGGGAGGTAGGTTGGAAATGCAGTTTGGCCTCAGATCTGACAACAACTCCCAGGGAATGTGGAGGAAAGAAATGGGGAATTGGGGGATTATACCAAGCAGTTCACTTCAGCAGTCACCAGCCTCATCTCCAAAGTCAGGAGGGAGCTTGCAAAGGAAGTCCCAAGTGCGAGGGATGTTGTTCAAAGCTGCTGAAGTGGGACCACCCATGCCATGGCACAGGAGAGCCGTGGCACGACTACATCTTTATTGCTTGTCTCTCCCACAGGCTGTGAGGTCCCCAGGAGGGCAGGGTGACACTGTCACTGAGCACTTACCATATGCCTAACACTAGGCACTCATTCTATGCATCTTACAACAAAGCCATCAATTAAACACAGTTGTCCCTATTTCAATAAGCAGACTGAGGCACAGAGAGATTAAGCAGCTGGCTTCAGATCACACGGAGCTGGCAGCTTACCTGGGTCTGTCAACTGTCTTCCACAGCTACACCTCCACTGAACAGGTCACCACCTCCCTCCGCGTTCATGTTTATCTCAGCCTCTAGTTAGTGGGTGGCCTGGCAGGACTCCTGCCCAACACTCCAGCTTCATTTGCCTGCCTTGGTTTCCCATCTAGCACTCAGCTCAGAGGCCACTGTGAACAAATGTGCTAGTTCCTAGGTGGCACAAAGTGATCAGGGCAGGGCAGGGTCAGAAGCTTATGAGACAAGGAGCTGCACCACTGCTGCATGCAGGACAGGACCTACTTCTGAGCTCCAGTGGGGACATAGCCTAGGAGCCTTGGCAGGGGGACCTCCCAGCCATCGGAACCCTTGGAGGGTGCCCTGCTCAGCTACGGTCCAGGGGGCCACTCTGGTGTCCAGGACTGGGGAGATCAGTTTCCCCGCAACGACACTGCTGGTGGCCTGGGCTCCTGTAATGGATATAGTATAGTCTGGAGGCCCCATATTGTGCACCCTCAGACCCATCCTAAACCAATTCAGGTAAGTCCCCCCGATGGCTCCAGGCCCATGGTGCTCTTAGACAGAGTAGCTCCAAACAGCTTCCTTAGTCAGTTTGGGACACAGCCCAGCAAGTGCTTTAAAGTGAGATGACCTGGTTTCAGATCTTAGCTATCACTTACAAGCACCAATCCATGTACAAGTAGATTTGAGGGGCTGTGACAATAGCACGCCTCACGGCAGTGGGTAGAGATTACAGAAGGCATTTACCCAAATTTGTTCATGTTCCTCCCAAGTCAGGTGGCCCTCCTGCTCCCCCAGAACCTACCCTACCCACCCAAAAGCAGTGCAACTCCAAGGAGAGCAGAAGGCATCTCAGAGCCACTTGAGGAAGGCCCTGGGATGCCCAGTCTCAAGGCGCAGGAGGGACTTCCCTAGATCACAGCCACATGCCTCACTCTTCTTAGGATGAGGACAGCCTGCAGCAAACCCCCACCAACCTGCACAAGCTCCTGCCTGCAGGAAGCAGCCTCTGTTCTTAGCTCCTCTGGGCCACTAAGCCCAGGGGCTTGCATACCTTCTGAGCTCTGAGGTTCAGAGCAGCGAGAGGGGAAAGAGCCTCTGGGGCCAAGGGAGCTCAATACCTGCTCCTACCTTCACTCCAAGCCCAGCCCCATTCCCAACCCTCTTAGTTACCCCACTTGGAGGTCCTAGGAAGGATGCGTGGGTTGAACAGCCCATTGGCCACATTGTCAGAGGTGAAGATGATGATATTGCCCTTGGTGTCCCCAAGACAAAACACACCTTTGTGATAATCAGACCTGAGGAAAGATGGAGACAAAAGAGTCCATGGATTCTCACCCGTCCTGGTCCCCTCCAAAAGCCCCCTCCACCTTGGAAAGGAGGTCACTTCCCGGAGACCTGGACCTCGCTCTATACCTCTGCCATGCTGACAAGCATGAGTCCAGTGGCCCAGATCCAGGCCACCCTTGAGCCAGAACTCAATGCTTTGCTTTGATCAAAATTAATTAACCCCTAATCTTCTAACTACCCTTTGACAAGTCATCCCTCCCTAAGACTATGATGTTCCCAGAGGGCTCAGCCACATCAAGACCAGGGCTGGATGGCTGATTGAGTGGGGGGAGGAGAGGAAGCAACACTCCAAGGTCAGAGTGATCCTAAAGGTGGCCCCAAGACAGCAGCAGTTTGAGGGAAAGAGGACACAGGGCCGAGAACCAGTGGGGTATAGATCTTCCCGAGCCTATGCTCAAAGGCCTTGCTGAGGCCCTAGCCTTACCTGCCCAAGGGATGTGGTGGCTGCCAAGACCCTTCACCCAGCTGCTTTGTGACTCACCAGTAGTCCATGACCAGGATACAGCTATCCAGTTCAGTCAAGGTGAAGGCCCGGACACATTTATAGTTACTGATATCAAAGAACTCTGGAAAAGACAGAAGACAGGGCACTCCTGGAGGCCAAACTCCCACATGGGCCAGGGTGGGGTCTGGAGGTGGCAAGCAGCCTCACAGCATCTGTCCAGCCCCTAATGAGTAGCAGCCTCATTGCCAGCGCTGACTTCCACATCTGAATACAGGCTATCACCCTTCTGTCTCCCAACAGGGCCAGGAGCTGCAGTTCACAAGAGGAGGCCTGGCTGGGCTGGGGTTACAGAGGCTGGAGTTCACACTGGTGCCACGTCCACCTCTGGCCTGGCCCAAGTGCTCCACGTAGAAATGCCAGCTCCTTCGCCAGGAAGGCTGTGATGACAGGATCCTCTCAGGAAGACATGGAGCCCACTCCTGGAGCACCATGACCACTGACTGCTCAAACTTGCTGATGACTGACTGCTTTCTCTGTATCACACAACATATCCTCATAATGAGTTCACTATTAACAATGCAGCCAGCCACCACACCAGGAGCTTCGCACACACAACCACCCAGGCCACACTCACCCTGGACACATGTACTATTGGCCCCCTTTTACCTCTGGTAAATTGAGACGCTAGGAGGTAAAGTAATTGCCCAAAGTTACACACCAGTGTCTCGTTCCAGAACAGCTGCTCCCTATCCTCACATTTAGCCCCGCCCTGTGAGCTATGGTTTCACATACAAGTCTCCTCTCTCTGACTTTACAAATGTGCTGCTGGACCCTGCCCTCCCTCACTCATCTATCACCTACTCAAAAGCACCACACATCCAAAATGCACAAAGCAGTGAGACAGACCAGAGTAGAACAGATGCAGTGCCTGACTCACGGAGCTTCTGGTCTGAAGGAAGAAACAGACACAGAACAGAATGACAGTAAGGAGTGTATGACTGCACTCAAATGGGACTTTGAAGAGAAGATGGATGGTATCATGAGGATCCTTTTAACAGAGGAACTTGACTTGGACAGGTGGTCATGGAGGGCTCCCTGGAGGAGGTGATCTCTTCCTTACCCAAGGGAAAGGTAGGAGCTGTGGGGTACAGAGGGGTGCAGGAGGGACAGCAGAGAATACAGAGGCCATGGTGCCCCCTGGAGGATGTGAGAGGAGGCCACAACAGGCAGAAGGAAAAACCAGGGGACAACAGGGCCTCAAGAACCATGTTAAAGATCCCACTTCCATCCTAAGAGCAATGCAGTAAATTGAAAGCTCTCTGCAGACAGGCACTTTAAAAGCTCATCCTGTTAGGAGTAGTAGCTCATGCCTGTAATCTCAGCTACTTGGGAGGCTGAGGCAGGTAATCTCAGCTACTTGGGAGGCTGAGGCAGGAGGATCACAAGTTCAAAGCAAGCCTGGGCAAATTAATGAGACCCTCAAAATAAAAATGAATGAATGAATGAATGAATGGATGGATTAGGATGTAGCTCAGCCCTCCCTGGCTTCAATCCCTAATGGGAGGGGTGTCAGAAAAAAGAAAAGAGAAAAGTGCTCCTCCTAGCTGCTACAGGAGCCTTGAGAAGCAATATGGCAGGCAAGACAAGGTCTCAACACTGTTCAAGTGAGAGATGAAGGGAGCAGCAAGAGAGAGCAGGGAGAGTCAGGGCTGGTCTTGTTATGGCCTCTGGCTCTTACATTTGGATACCCAGGTATCTACTCAGCATTCACTGAGCATCCCCCATCTACAAGTGGGGCTGGGGGGCAGCCAGTCACAGCAGCCACACTCAGTCCTTGTGGCACCTGCCACAAGAGGCCCTCACTAAGCACTGATTACGAAGGCTTCTCCACCTGGCACTACCCCAGAGGGTGTTATCCATGCTCTCGGCTGCTCAGCCAACAGATCTCTCCCAAAAGCAGATGTGCGGTTCTGGGGTAGCAGGCCTGGGCAGGCTGCAGGGACTCACCTATCTTCAGTTCAGTAGATGAAACCGCAATGAGGTTCATGTTGTGCAGGCACACCAGGTCGATGACCCACATCGGCTGGTTGTGGGGCTGCTGGATCTGGCTGAGCTGGAAGAGGAAGAGCAGAGGAGGCTGGGGCCCAGGAAGAGAGCACACCAGGAGCACACACTGCTAGCCCGCTCTTGCCAAATGAGACCTAAAGCCCCATCCAACAGAGCTGGAGTGTAAAGAGCTATACAGTGTCTCAGCCAGGGCACAGAGCTGGTAGGTGGTACAGCCAGGATTCTAACCCTGGTGGTCAGGTTCCAGAGCCCACACTCACAACTGCGGTATTTTCTGCCTGGCCCAGGCAAAAGGTTTGAATCCTCAGGATCTGAGGATGGTCTGAGTGTGACAGGGAAAGGGAGTGAGGCTGACCTCTAGCTCAGTCGCTGTGCTGGATGATGACACTACTCACTGAGATGGCGACTCGAGAAATAAGCCTTGTGGGCAGGGGAGCCACTGACATGCTGTTTGTGCAAGCTTGCTTGGAGGTACCTGCTGGACATCCAGATACCTCCTTCTGCTGAACTCCCGCTTAGCAGAAGGGAAGCACAAGGCTCGCAAGGTGAAGCCAGAACCTGGGCTCGAGTCATATGACCACAAGTCCAGGCTGCTCTGACGAGGATCCCAAGAGTGAGCTCATGCTGGACACAAGTTACCATCACTGCCGGGGTACTAAGAAACAGCTTTGCAGCTCCCTCCCCACCTGTGTGCCACATGTGCTAGCCCCACTCACCTTAAAGGAGCTAATCAGCAAGAAGGACTCAGACCAGAACTGCAGGACCCCGTCCTTGGTGACAGTCAGGAAACACTTGATCTTCTTGAACCGCTGCACTAAAAACTCTACTTTCACGATCTCACATCCATGCCGTCTGTGGACAGTGAGAAACAAGCAGAAACAGCTCAGAGAGGAGCGGGCATCCACATCAGGACAAGAAGCCATCAAGGAGGAAGGTTAAAAGCAAGCAGGAACACTTTCACTCACGTACTGACAGGTACAGAACAAGAAGCTGAGCCTGGCTCCAGGAGATCTGGGACTCCACTCCTCCTCCAGGTGGACTTCTACTGGATCAGTGATAGCCACAAGAAAAGGAGCCCCAGTGGGGGCCGGGCATGTGGCTCAGAGGAAGAGGTAGGCTTAGCCTGCGCAAGGCCCTAGGCTCTATCCCTAGTGAAAGAAAGAGAGAGAGAAGGAAGGAAGGGAGGGACGGAGGGAGAGAGGAAGAAAGAAAAGCCAAGCACAATGCTGATATAAGATGTGGCTCCAAAAGCTCATCCTGAGAAACAAGCCAACTCCCTTATGACAGAGGAGACAAGGAGTAAAGGTCTTCTGCAAAGCTTTGGTTATGGGAAAAATGACCCACTGAGAGTGAGCAGAGTGGAGCCTGTGACTGAAAATGAGAAAGCACTTTCTAGCCACCAACCTAATACTCCAAGGTAGGGAGGGAAATGGAACCCAAGATTAAGAGGAATCAGGGCCTCAAGCGTCCCATTCTTCACCTCCAGGACATACACTGAGCAGAGCAAACAGCTCCTGCTGTTCCACAGGGTGCCATCCACAGCCTTCAGCAAACTTTAATGCTCTTCCAGTGGCCCCTTTCCTGCCCCAACATTCCTGCCCACAGCTGGCTATTAAGGGTCACCACCATGTTGACATAGCATCATACACACTTGCCCATACACACTTCACCTGTCCAATATTTAGGCCCTAACAGGGCCCACTTCCCTAGAGTCATGTTCTGGTTACCAGCAGAACTACAACTAGACCAGGTGCCTTCCCTCCGCCTTCAGAGCCTTCTCCAAGCCCTGCGTGGGCATCATCTGACTCGCAGCCAAGGATAATCCACAAGTGTGAACTTCAGCTGCTGTTGCAGTGGTGGGGAGAGCAGGGGAATATGTATCTGGACACAGTTCCCCTCTCCTGCCCTTGGCCCATTGGTCTACACAGATGGTGAGGAGAAACTCAGATGACCCTTCTAGACTGTGAGGAGCACATGTAACAAATGAGAGCTCCAACTCACTCTCAGTAATTAAGACAGTCCCAGAGAACTGTCACCTCAGTCACCAACTGTCATGTTGGTGTCATCTGCAGGAGGACAGCTCCTTCCTCTCCCAGGACAGCATGAGGTGTGTTGGTATTCAGTGACAAGGCTCAGTAAAAGTGCCATTAACTTTAAAAGTTACCCTTGCATGAAGGGAAATGAATATTTGGCTATTTCTCCCTCAAATTGAAAATGGGTTCCTTGTTTACAGGTTGAGCAAATAAATAGGAGAAAATAAGGGACAAGCTTTGGACATTTTTGTCTCAGGATCTTTAAACATACTTGGGGTCTAAATGTCCCAAAGAAACAGACCAGTGAGGGCATGACCACATCATGCAAAGTATTCATTATGGCCATAAAATCTTCATCCCACCCCTATCCTGTTTAATAAATGTATTTTAGATAACAGAGTAAAGACTGGCAGCAAAATACTGCCTCCCCAGGACCTGGAATCAAAACAATAAAAACATCTGGAAAACAGCTACTTAATGAAGAAACAGAAGTAGATCTCCAGGAACTAAGAAAGCCAACAGGAAGCTGGACATGGTGGTGCATGCCTAAAATCTCAGCACTCGGGAGGCTGAGGCAGGAGGATCACCAAGAGTTTGAGGGTAGCCTAGACTACATAGTGAGTTCAAAGCCAGTATGCACTACACAGTGAGACCCTGTCTCAAAAAAGGAAAAAAGAAAACTAGAAACTACAGAAAAACTTAACACAAACACAATGTAGAAAACTAGAAACTACAGAAAAACTTAACACAAACACAATGTAGAGGAAAAAAGAACCAATCTGGACTGGTAATCCTGACTCCTAGGAAGGGGGACCTGTACCACTAACACCCAGCAAGCCCAGAGAAGGTCAGCAGCTCCGGTGAGGAACAAAGGACTGTACCCACAGTGCTACCCTCAAGAAAAACCCAAAGTTATTGTAAACTGCAAAACCACCATAATATTTTACTCTGAAAGTAAATCCTTCCACATGGCAGGCTAGAGTTGGGGAAGAAATTCATTATAGTGCCTGCTATATCTGAGACAGTTTAATCAGGAGCCATTTGGGAAGGGGTTGTTTAAGAGTGGCAGAACTACTACACTTCAGGGTTTCTGGGGTCACTGTACCACAGTAACTGGGTGACAGACAGTCATAAGAGACAGTCACAAGAGGATGTAGGCTAGACATAGAATGCTTAGAAGTTTAAGGTGAGGCCAAGAAGGACCAAGAGTCTTGCCTTCTGTAGTGAGAACTCGCGCCACTGTTGTGTAGTTTTTGGAGGAGGCTGGGTCTGAAAGTGCTGGCATCAAGACCAGGGAACAGCTTGACCCCACCCCTATTCCCACTGCCTACATCTAGCACAGAACTCAATGATCTGTTTGCTGTCTCCCTCAGCCAACATGATTAGAGATGCACGTCAGCTTGGACAGTTGCCACAGCCAGGGGTGTATAGACAGAGGGGTCTCTGGAACAAGGGGGTGCCTCACAAGCCCACAGGCTATAAAGCTAGGCAGAGAAAGCAGTAACTTCAGGTGCACCAAGGGACACAAACACTGGAGTGGCTGGAGTGAATACAGCCCTGGGGTAAACACCATGGACTGACCACATGCAGCAGGAAAAGTAGGGCAGGACTCAGCAATCACACACAAAAATGTGAGTGTGGAAACAAAATAGGACTTAGTAGTGACTCACTCTCATGCCTCCATATCTGGCAGATTCCAAGACATAAAGATCCAGGAAAGAAATCACTCATTTAAAAAATGGGAGACTTCTTGGACTCATTTCTCTTGTCCTTCATTAGTTTTTGGAGGCTTGGGGGTTTTTATCTGTGTGAGGTTTTTTTTCTTTTCTTCTCTGTGGGTTTTTTCTATTTCTTATTCTTTGCTGTTACTTTTACCTAATTCTATTTTCTTTTACTCCTTAATAGCACCCTTTAACTCACTTTTCTGTCCTCCTTCTCATCCTCCTTTTATTTTTGAAATTTTACTTCTTTCATTTCCCCTTCCCCACCCTCTCCATTTTCATTTGGATTACTAATAAGCATTATTAATCTTTATATAGTTAGCTGATTCTATGCTATCATTGTCAAATTCTTTTACATTTTTAATGATGATATAATTGTTATACTTAGTAGGTATTTAATGCACGTGAACATTTGGTTTGCCTTTGTATCTATATTGTTGTTGCAGATCTCTTTTCTATTGTGAAGGGTGGTACGCTGGTAGCTTTTATTGGTTGAATTACCCAATTTGTCTTTCACGCTATTATTGTTGCTGATTTCATTGCTATTGCCAATATGACATAACTGTTGCTATTAGTAGGTTTTTATTGTATATTAATATCTGGTTTGCCTTTATGCCATGGACAATACTGCATTTCATTGCCAGAGAACTGGGTGCTGGGCCAATTACACTGCACCCTCCCCTCCCCACATCAATGAAGGTGGTCATTCTTGGGACAGAGACAAGAACCTATATTTAGCCAGGCCCAGAGCACATCACTGGAAAGCAGATACTATTTTAAGAGCTATCCATACTAGCAACAAACTCTTTGCACTATAATCCACATGAACCCTCAGCATACATGCATGCACATATGTATACACACACATGTAACATGAAAAAGCAGGGCCAGAGATATAGCTCAGCAGCACAGAGCCTGCCTGGCAAGTGCAAGATAATGAGTTCAATTCCCGGTACCAAAAATAGAAAAAACAAGGCAACAGAATGCCTCCAAAAACTCCCCATAGCCCCAAGGGTGATCCATGGGGTATTAGGGGAAGGAAATCAAAAGCCAAGGCCAGGCATAGGGCCACATGCCTATAATCCCAGCACTTGGAGGCTGAGGCAGGAGGATCAATGTGAATTCAAGGCCACCCTCTACTACATTTGAGACAGGCCACCTTGTCTCAAAAAAAAAAAAAAAAAAAGCCAAAGAGCTGAATTATATGAAGCAATAAGAGGAGAAAAAAAAAACCCAGATCAATAAGATGCTTGGTGAGCTCAAAGATGATACAAATAATCAGATAATCGACTTAATAAAATTGGTGAGTTTGCAGAAGACACTAATAAAAAGTTAGATGAGCTAAACAAAATAAGACAAAATGTAAATGACCAGTTTACCAAAGGATTAGAGCTCATGAAAAGGTACCAAACAGAAATCTAGGAGCATAAAAATTCTATTGAAGGTATGGACAGCAAAAATGATCAATATGAGGACAGTGTCAGGACTAGAAGACAAGGCTGATGCAGGAGACCATATACTCAGATTCCTCAAAAACATGAGATCCAGGAAAATGGATCCAACAGTTGCTAGACAGCACAAAGAAGACTAATCTAATATTAATTGGAATTAGTGGAAAATCAGAAGACAGCACAAATGGCATAAAAAATCCTGTTTGTAGAAATAACAGCAAAAAAATTTCCAAGTATGGGGAAAGAATTTAATACAGATAAAGAAGGCATATCAAATCTCAAACAGCCATGATCAGAAAAGAACTTCTCCAACAATACATCACAGTCAAAATCCCCTCAGTAATCAGAACTACTGCAGACTTCTCAACATAAACCAGGAGAACTTGAAGTATTTCAAACCCTAAGAGAAAACAACTTCCAACCCCAACTATAGTATTTTTCAAAAAAAAATCTATCTTTCAAAATTGATGAGAAGTAATGTCTTTCCATGACAAAGAACACTTCCAGAAATTCATGGAGCTGGGCATGGTGGTGCATACCTGTAATCCCAGTACTCGAGAGGCAGAAAAATTGCCTCAAGTTTGAGGCCATCCTGGGCCACACAGGGAGTTCAAGGCCAGCCTGTACTACAAAGAGAGACCCTGTCTCAAAAAAACAAAAACAAAACAAACAAGTAAAATTCAGGCCCACTAAGCCTGAAAATTCTCCATAAAATTCTCAAGAAAATCCTACAAAGAGACAAGGAAACCAATGATGCCAAAAAGTCTAGTGGAATGAATACATCTAGCAGGGTGAGCAGATAAGGAGAAGTGGGGAGGGGAAGACCCCTGGAAGACTGGCAAAGAGTGTCCCTGGAACTTAGGGAGGGACGGGCTACCCTGGCCCTAGATCAGTCGCTCCCCACAGGCCCAGGGAAGCACTCCTTACAGGGGAATGATCCGCATGGGAAGGTAGAAGCGCAGGCGGTACTGACTCCTCCTCATCTCTTCCAGGCCGTGGAACTCACTCATCATGTAGTCCACATACTTTGGCTGCCACAGAAAGCAAGGCAAGGGAGGGAGGGTGTTTCAGCGTTAGCCACTAGGGGCCCTGGAGGCTGCTTCCCAAGCATTGGTCAAGCAACAGCCTGTGCTCAGCTCTTGAATGTGGGGAGGGTTATTACAGGCATCTGTGAAGACAGGAAGGCAGTCCCTCCCTCCTTAGCTCTATCTGCAATGCAAATAAACGTAGCTTCACTTCTGCACCTGGCACCTCAATTGGATGCTCTTTATTCACCCCTACTTTATGGATAATAAGGCCCATGTAAGTATATATAAGTTGCCTGAGTTCACATACCAAGTTAATGACAGGTGTTATAATAACAAGTTAATACCAAGTTAACCCTAACATTAACTCTAACCCTAGGCCACTAGGGCAACTCTAGGCTACACTGAGCAGCCTCATGTTAATACAGCTAGGGCCAAAACAAGCCACCATACGAAGCTATAACCAGGGGCTGGGGATTTAGCTCAGCAGCAAAGCGCCTGCCTGCCAAGCGCAAGGTCGTGAGTTGGGTTCCCGGTACCGGAGAAAAACCAAAAAAAAAAAACGAAGCTATAACCAGAATTAGGAGCCAGGTGTGGTGGCGTATACTTGTAGTCTAGATACTCGAGAGGCTGAGGTAGGGGATATTTCTTGAGCCCAAGAGTTCAGCACCAGCCTGGACAAGATAGCAAGATCCAAGCAACCCATTTAGAACCCCTCCTGTCTCTCAGAAGCTATTCTTATTCCCATTCCGCCATCCCTATTCCCCATTCCTTTTCTCCAATAAATTTTCCCACTCTTAAAAAATAAATAAAAAAGATAGCAAGACCCTGTTTTAACAAAATAACTAAATAAACAATTTTTAAAAAGAAAGAAAGGAGGGCCAGGGCACATAGCTCAAAGGCACAGTGGCTGCCTGACAAACACAAGGTCCTGATTTCAATTACCAGTACCAAAAAACAAAAAAGAGGAAAAAGAAAGAAAGGAGTTAAGATGAAGGATCATTGTTCTCAAGCATAATGGCACACATCTGTAATCCCACATAGTGAGGAAGCTGAAACAGGAGGATCACAAGTTCAACACTAGCCTGGGCAACTTAGAGAAACCTTGTCTCAGAGGGGTGGGGGAGGCCCTGGAGAGATACCTCAGGGCTGTCTGGATTCAACCCCAGAACTACAAACAAACAGGACTGAGGATGCAGCTCTATAGTACAGTGGCTGCTTAGCATAGGTTCAATCTAGGTTCAATCTCTAATATTGGGGGCTCAGGGGCAACAGCAGCATTGAGTAGACAAGTGGAGAATGCTAGAAATATATTAAAATTAAATTTGAAAAATAGAACTTGGCCAGGGTGGTGGTGCAAGCCTGTAATCCCAGCACCCCGGAGGCTGAGGGAGGAGGATCTTTGCAAGTTCGAGACCAGCCTGGGCTACAAAGGGAGCTCAGGCCAGCCTGAACTGCACTGTGAGATCCTGTCTCAAAAAGACAAAAATAAATAAATAACATAAAATAGAACCTGGATTGAAAACCTAAACCGAGTAGGAAGTACGCTATGGCAGTTAACACAGGAAGCTTTGAGGCAGACCTCTGAGTCTGAATACTGGCCCAGCTCACTAGCTCTGCAACCCTAGATGAGTTCCCCAACTTCTCTCTGACTCAGTTTCTTAAACTTGTCAAACGACAGCACCTATCCCACAGGATTCCTGTGAGGTTTAAGCAAAATAAAACACAAAGTGTTCAGCACAGTGACCGTGTAATCATTGCCATCTTTACCACATAAATATATCAGACTGTATTTTGGGGGGTTTTCTTTTGTTTTGTTTTTGTTTGCAGTGCTGAGGATTGAACCCAGGGCCTTCACACTGAGCTATATTCCCAGTCCATTCTTTAATTTTTATTTCAAGACAGAGTTTTTCTAAGTTGCCCAGGCTGGGTTCAAACTTATGATCCTCCTGCCTCAGCTTCCCAGAGAGCTGGGATTACAGGCATGTGCTACCACGTCTGATTCAGATTATATTTTGTACTTTTCTATATTTTTAAATGCTATTTGTGCTCTTTGTAGAACTTTTTGGGGAGGTGCCGGGGGGCACTGAGAAAGGGTCTCACTATGTAGTCTAAGCCAGCCTCGAACTCACATTCTTCCTGTCTCAGACTTCCAAGGGCAAGAACTGCTGGCATGAACCACCTTGCCTAGCTCTGAGAATATTTAGAATCAGAAATAACAAATTCATTATTATTATTATTGTTCCATAAAACCCTGACATTTTTGGATTTTACAGCCACAAATCAGCCTGTTCCTGAGTGACCATAAAGGGCCAAGGCATTGATTTGGACCCTCTAGGCAGACATGCAGGAGAGCCACCTAGCAGGTGGGGATGCCCTGAGAGGTCTCACACACAGGGGTCACTGACACTTGCTGTACATTCTCCTACCCCAGGAGGTGAAGCTGCAGTCAGAACACCAACGCTTCCGTCTAGCTGGCAAACACCCCAGCTGGAGCAGAGCACAGGGAGGCTTTCTGATGCTCCCTGCCTGCCCATCTTCACACCTCCATCCCGGCCCACTCAGCTACCTGAGGCAGCAGGGACAACTCCTCACCCAGGTGATAAAGCCGTTACCATCCGAATCCACCTTGAAAAACACCGACTCTAGCACCTCCTCCGACACATCGTTCAGCACCTTCTTCATGGTCCTGATGAAAGTTTCCAAGTCCATGGCTTCAGAGAGACAGAACAGCGGCACTCAAGTCACTCAGCACCCCACAGGCCCCAAGTGTCCCTAGAAATCTGCATGCCAAGCAGTTTCATCCCAAGGGGTAGAAGTCAAGCGCTACAGAAAGAAAAATATAGCCTAAATATGCAAAAATAAGGGAATGGTTTAGTCAGCCACAGAGCACTTAGATCCATTTCCCAACTAACACCACAGTCAGTGTTTTTTAAAGTGAGGAAGGTGTTATTATATGTTTATGAGAATATCCCTGATATATCTATTAAGTGAGAAGCAAGGTGGTGGGACTTGCTAAAAACTAATTTTAGGACATGGGGTGTGGCTCAGTGGTAGAGCCCTGTCTAGGATACTCAAGTGCTGGTTTGCCCTGGAGCAAAGCAATGGCCTAGAAGCCCATGATAGCACAGAAGTCTACACAGCACTATGGAAATGTTAAGATTAACAGTAAGTGAAAAAGAAGGGTCTGAAATGACATACAGTACATAAACATAGTCCCCAACTTAGGATTTTTCCATTTTACAATGGAGCAAATTTATACACAAACAACCACCATTTCACTTTCATCACAGTAGTTAATGAATTACGAGATATTCGATACTTTATCAAGTAACATGCTTTGTGTTAGATTCTTTTGCCCAGCTGTAGGCTCATGCAAGTATTCTGAGCACCTTTAAGTCAGGGTAGGCTAAGCTGCAATGGTTGGTAGGTCAGGTGTGTTAAATGAGTTTTCAGCTAATGACAGATTCAATTTACAATCATTTATACGACATACCCTGTGGTAGTCAGGGAGCAGTGGTGTCGTGAGATAACAAACATAAAAACACGCATAGCCATCTGTGGTGAAGCCTTAATGAGGCCCTTGGGACACCTGCTTCCTGGTGTTCGTGCCTTCCTGTGGTCTCCCCTGCTGAGTATGGGGTGAGGAGGTGACTTGCTTCCAGCAGCAAAAAATGACACAGGTGACAGACAGGGTCTATGGCTCTCTGTACTTATTACTACCTGACTCTGCTACATGAGACTATGTCCCGCTAGAGTTGCTCTCTCCCTTCTTGGGTTGCGCCTTGCCAGCAGACGTGCTGGGAAGCCCCACACAGTCAGAAAATGCACCAAAATGCTAACAGTGGTTGCATGTGGGTATATTTGGACTAGGTGAATTTGGGCTGGGAATATTTTCTTCTAGATCTCAAATAGCTTCCAATACGTTTACACAACACAGTGATGAAAAGTTTTAAACAAGACACTGGATACAAAAATAGTTGTCAGAGCTGGGCATGGTGCACACCTGTAACACCAGCACTCCAGGAGGCTGAGGCAAGAGGAGCACAAGTTCGAGCAGAGCCTGGATAACTTAGTGAGAACCTGTCTCAAAAAATAAATAAATAAAGGGCTAGGGATGAAGCTTAGAGCAAAAGACCTGGGTCTTGGGTTCAATCCCCAGTACTGAAAAAGGCAAGGGACCCTGTCATAGCTGGGCATGGTGGCGCATGCCTGTAATCCCAGCACTTGGGAGGCTGAGGCAGGAGGATCATTGAGAGTTCAAGACCAGCCTGGGCTATAAAGTGAGCTCAAGGCCAGCCTGAACTGCATAGCGAGACCCTGTCTCAAAAAGCCAAAAAAAAAAAAAAAAAAAAAAAAGGGACCCTTTATCTGAGCCCTCCACACACCCCAGACACTGGGTCCTGTGCAGAAGTTACAATGACTGAGTGTACAGTGTGGCTTTACCTCTAGTGGAGCCAATGCCCTCCTCAAACATTTTCTCCATCTCAGCCAGGTGCAGCCCAGTAAATAGCTGAGTGCTAGGTGAGGTGTCGGGAATATGATGGTTAAGGATGATGGGTGGTGGGGAGCGGGGAGCCTCCTTGTCCTGGAGTTCACCTGGGATGGACAGCTGGAACGAGAATGATTACACAAACCAGGGACCAAGAGGGTTAACTTCCTATGCCAAACATTTCTCAGTGCATCTTATTTAAAGAGAGAATGTTTGGGAAAGAACATGCTAAGAAATGTTACAATGTTACTGGTAGAAACAAGTAAGTTCTACTTATCTGCTTCCACTTTTAGGCTTAGAAAGATCAAGAAAAATCTAGGCCAGGTAGAGTGGAGCACACCTGTAACCCAACAATCTGGGAGGCTGAGGCAGGAAGATCGTTGTGAGTTCAAGGCCAGCCAGGGCTGCAAATGTGAGTTCAAGGCTAGTCTGCACTACAGAGCAAGACCCTGTCTCAAAATAATTAATTAATTAATTAATTAAAATAAAATTTTAAAAAGGGCTGAGGATGTAGCTCAGTACAAAGGTCCTGGGTTCAATCCCCAGCACTACAGGAAGGGAAGGAGGAAGGGAAGGCAGGGAGAGGAGATCCAGGCTGCGGGGTCAGAGAGGCAGCTCAATGGTAATGTAGTTGCCTAGTATGTGTGAAGCCATTAGCTCGGTCCCAGCACTGAAAATGGTAGTGGGGTAGGGGAGGTCTGGACTGTCTGTCCTAACTTTGGGAGTTTAAGCCCCACCAAAACAGTGAATACAAACATCCTCCTGTGAGTGCTCATTCATTCACTCACGGTCCCCACACATCTACTGGGTGCCAGGCACTGCGGCTACAACAGTAAACAAATGGAGAGTCCCCGCCTTCATGAAGTCCAGCAAATGAAGGAGTTAATGCTCTCACTATCTACGCAGACCCCAAATTAGAAATCTCAGCACCATTTTAGTGCCTCCTTTCTTCCTCTATGTTCTTACTGGGACCCATCACCTACATAGAACCCATCCTCTCCCAACCCCTGCCCTACTCTAATGTAGCCTTTTGCTGAGACAAATATAATGACCTGCCCTACCACAGAGCCTGGCCATCCCCACCAAACCGCCTTCCAGTGCTGGAACCGCCCTCTTCCTATCAGCCAAATATGATGACTTTATCTTGCTCTGACACTCTCCATGGTGACTCCTTCCATCCTCAACTCCTAAGCGTGACTTCTAGAGCCCTTCACAATCTAGCCCTGACTTATCTTTCCAGTTGTAGGCAAGCCCACACCATCCCCTATGCACAGTCCAGGCCTGTGCCGCAGAGAGGATCTTCTACACACTCTTCAGGGTCTGGCTCAAATAGCACTTCCTCCAAGGAGCTTTTCCTTGACTTCCAATGAGAACCACTACTGCCACCCACCCTCCCAGGGTCTTTGTTCATTCTTCGCACTCACAGCATGCATCTGTGTACATGCCCAGACAGCATAGTGTGAGAAGCACAGGGTCACACAGTGCAGAGCTCTAGGCTAGACTTCTGCATGGCTCCCCGCATATGAGCTACTTTACCTGAGGCAAGCCACATCACTACTCTGAGCCACAGATTTTCCCATCTGTAAAACAGACCCACAGGGTTGTGGTTGAGACCTGAATACATATAAAACCCCAGTAAAGTGGCTTCAGAATAAATGATAGCTCTTGTTACCATTCATCTTATATTGATTTTTTTTAAGGCAAGGGCATATTAATTTACCTTAATTTAATCTTAATTTGTATTAATTATCGCTATATGACCCTAGGGCACTGAACAGATAATACATCTAAAAGTTCATATAGCCCAGTCCGCACAGGGGCTGTGGACGGACAGCCTCACGCTGCCTCTGGGCCAGGTGGCACTTTAAAAGGAAGAGCCAGCCTGCTTGCAGCACACACTTGGGTCACCCACCTGGCCCTGTAAATCTCTAGTTTGCCACGGCGGGGCAGAGACCAGTGGACCACTATGCTGATGAGCATTGGTCATGTTGAGTGGCTCTGGAATGCCCCTGCCCTTTACTCACACTGACGGTTTGCTTACCTTTTCAGGTTGAGGGCTCTCTCCAAAGTCCTCAGGAGACATTCGTCTTGACCTAAAATAAGGAATCATGGTTGTTTTAACTCCAGTCTTTGTAAGGAGCATGTGGGAAAATGAGCAAGCCAGGCCACAAAAAGGCATTAAAGAAGACAGGGGCCATGGAGAAGGTGGCTGTCCCTTCCCTAAGAGCACATCTAGCATCTGATGACCATCCCTTTCCCATAGAGACTGCTCCAGCAGGAAGCTTCCTGTATGTTGACAAATGAGCCTTTCTCCCACTGATGGAAAGGAGTTGTCCCACTGACAAGTTACTTCACTCCTCACTTAACACTAGGGACTTCCTTAAGGGGCTCACACTTTCTACAGAACTAGAAGAGGCTTAGGGTGCCATGTGGTATTTAAAGAACAATTCAGATGAGGAAAATAAGATCCAGAGGTGGGCACATGTCCGAAGGTCAAAGACAAGCACTAGAGTTGGGACAGGACCAAACTAGCCCCTGACCCCCCTCTACATCCCCCCTCTCAAACCCCCTTCTGTGCCCTGAGAAATGGGACTCCCTCGGGAGAGCTGACGGAACTCTTCACAGCAGCATGAGGACCAGGTGACAGCACACTTGGGAGATCCATCCCCAGAGCTCTGCTCTGAGAATGCAAGGCATGTGCTGTATTAGGGCACCGGAGCATCAGTCCAGCCTCATCCACAAGTCCCCCAGGCAGTGGCCAGGGACACCCTCGGATGGGGGAGAACAGTCAGGAAAGAGACATGCCTGACATGTACAGAGGGCCTGGCCAAATGGGCCACTTAGCTTGATCAGAGGGGTTCTGGAAGGCCCAGGAGAAGGAAGAACAGCAGGAGAGAAGAGGGAAAAGAGAAAATGGAAGCAGAATGCAACATCTTAAATGTTTGGCCAGGGAAACGGAACAGGATGCGGGCAATTATGAAAATTCTCAGCACAAGACACAGGGCAAGGAGGAAGAGTAAACACTGGAGAAGAGTTGTCCTAACGTGATAATGTCCTGACAACAGTGCAGGTGAGGACTGAGGGAGAGAGATGAGTCAAGGAAAGAGGTTTAAAAGCCAAGAGCCAGGATGGCTGAGGGAAATGACAAAAGCATTTCTAGAAAAAGGAGCAGAAGGAAAATGGTTTAATGCACATGATACTAGACTACCTGGTTACAAATAAAACACAAAATATCTGAAAACTGGCCAGGCATGGTACACACACCTGTAATCCCAGTACTTGGAAGGCTGAGGCAGGATCACTGGAAGTTTGATGCCAGCCTGGGATACATAGTGAACTCAAGGGCAGCCTGAACTACACAGCAAGACTTTATAGAAAAAAAAAAAAAAAAATCTGAAAATAGTACTGAGGGAGGGGTACATTTAGGGAACAAAAAAAAAAAAAACACAAAAACAGCTAAGAGGATGTTTTGGTAGCCAAGGTGATAGGGGAAAGAAGTCCACAGAAAATGGCAATATAGAGGTTACCGGCAAAAAACCCTGCACGAGTGTATTTATAAAACAGGTCCATTTCTGTTAATAATGTACATATTATGTGCTGGCACATCCTATTAGAAAAGAGGCTAAAACTTCTCCGAATGTAATGGCAGCTATCTCCAGCAGGTGAGGTGATGGAAAATTTTTATGATCTAAATCATTCATTCCTCTCATTTTTAATTCAAAAAACATTCATAGCAATCTTTTAAGATTTCTTTGTGGAGTGCGCAGGGTGGTAAGCAATAAATTCTAGCAGAGGGTGGGGTTTGGCTCTGGAGCCATGCCCCCTTATCCCCAACGCCTCACCTAGTCCAGCGGGACATAAGCCAAAGAGACACAGTGTGACTCCCCTACAGCTCTGGGCCCCAGGGAGGGGAACTTGACTGAGTCTAAGGAGTTGCTGTATAGAGAAAAACATGGAAGGTTACACATTACTGATTTGGATTCTAGGGAGTTAAGGGCTAATACCGGGGGAAGGCAAGGAAAAGGAGGAATACAAAAAAGTATGCACTAACAAAAGGCATGAGCATTACCATGGTTCTATAAAAAGGTAATCATGGGAATGTAGAAAGAAAATAATTACCTTTGTCTTGTTTAAAAATCTTGGTTAACAAATAAAAGTTAACATCACCAATGATGGAGATAAATGATGTCACACATTTCCTGATGTGATATACTCATACAAAGCCAGAATCTAGTGGAGCATGGTGGAACATACCTATAATCCCAGCACTCAGGAAGCTAAGGCAGGACTGTGGCAAGTTCGAGACCAGCCTGGGCTACACAGTAAGTTGAAGGCCAGCCTGAACTACATATCTGAGACCTTGTCTCAGAAAAACAAAAACAAATGAATACCTGGATGTAACCATAAGGAAACAAACCCAAACTGCAAGACATTCTACCATGTAACTGGACTTTACTCATTAAAATGCCAATGTCCTGTAAAACAAAGGCAGCCTAAGGAACTGTTGACAGATTAAAGGTGATTCAGACCCAACTAGAAGCAATGAGTGATTCTGAATTAGACTGCATTAGATTCCAGACTGGAAATTTATAGGGATCATATTTGATGAAATCAGATGAAATGTGAATATGAACTTTATATTACATATTGTATTAAAATGTTTTCTGCTTTTGGCAACTGTACTATGGTTATAAATCAAAGTTCCTTTCTCTTAGGATATATATATAAGGTGTATTTCCTAAGACAGTAAAAGAACAAGATTCTGTAATTTTTTTTTTTTTTTTTTTTTTTTTTTTTTTTTTTTTTTTTTGGTCTTTTTGAGACAGGGTCTCGCTATGTAGTTCAGGCTGGCCTTGAGCTCACTTTATAGACAGGCTAGTCTCAAACTCACGGTGATCCTCCTGTCTCAGCCTCCCAAGTGCTGGGATTACAGGCATGCGCCACCAAGCCAAGCTGTAATTTTAAAATGCTTCAACAAATAAAAATATAGAGCAAATTTAGGAAAATGTTTACAACTAGTCAATCTGAGTTCTTGGTTCTTTTTTTTGGGGTGGGGGGGTTGGTACTGGGCATTGAACCCAGGCGTTCATACTGATATACTTTGAGACAGGGTCTCACAAATTACCTAGACTGGCCTCAAACTCATGATCCTCTGCCTTAGCCTCCTAGAGAGCTGGGATTACAGGCTATGCCACCTTGCCCAATTCTTTTCACTACTCTTACAATTATTTATAATTATTTCAAAACGAAAAGTTTTCAGCCAGGCGTGGTGGCACATGCCTATAATCCCAGCACCCAGGAGGCTGAGGCAGGAGCATCTTTGCAAGTTCAAGATCAGCCTGGGCTACAAAGTGAGTTCAAGGCCAGCCTGAACTGCATAGCGAGACCCTGCCTCAGAAAGACAAAAAAAAAAAATCAGAACTAAGTTTTATAAGAAATACATCTTTCATAAAGAAGTAAAGGTTATTAAATTACTGATGAAATTCCTTTATGAAAACAACAAATACATATTTTTCCCCATAGCCCCTCCAGTAGTTTTTTTTTGTTGTTTTTTTTTTTTGTTTTTTTTTTTGCAGTACCAGGGATCAAACTCACAACCTTGCGCTTGCCAGGCAGGCACTTATGCCACTGAGCTATATCCCCAGCCCCAGCATTTGTTATTGATTTCTTGATGACAGCCATTTTTTCTGGAGATGGAATCCAGCATTACTTTAATTTGCATCTCTCAAATGATCAATGATGTTGAATATTTTTATTTATTTTTTGGAACCGGGAATCAAACTCAGGACCTTGCACTTGTTAGGCAGGTGCTTGTACCACTGAGCTATATCCCCAGCCCTGAACATTTTTAAATATATTTGCCATTTGTATTTTTCCATCTAAGACGTGTGTTTCCATCTCAGATGCCCATTTTTGGATTGGGTCTTTGAATTTGAGGGGTCTTGATTTTTTTTTATGTTCTACATATAAGTCCTTTGAGGGACAACTGGCTAAAATTTTTTTCCACTCTGTGGATTGTCTTTTAACTGTTGATTTCCTTTGTTGGGCAAAAGCTTTTTAATAAGATGAGGTAGCAGTTGTTGATTCTTTGTAGTATTTCCCATGCGATCTGGGTTTTGTTCATGAAGTCTCTGCCTACACCTACGTCTTCATGATTTCTACTTATTTTACCTTTCAGTAGATTTAGGTTTCTATTTTAATACTTTGATCTTTGATCCATTTTGACTTTAGTGCATGGTGATAGACGTGGGTCCTTCTCCACTGTTGGTGGGAATACTGACTGGCGCATCCACTGTGGAAATCAATATGGAGTTTCCTCAAAAAAAACTAGGATTAAAGGTCCCCATCAACCCAGCTATTCCCATTCTGGGTATCTTGGAAGAATTAAAAACATCATACCACAGTGATATATGTGCATTCATATTTACAGCAGCACAATTTGTAATGGCTAAATCTTGGAAACAACCCAAATGCCCATCAACTGAGGATAAAAAAAGATGTGGTCTACTTATTCAATGGAGTACTACTCAGTCATAAAGAGAGACACGCTTGAGACATTTCTAGATAAGTAGATGCAACTGAGGCCATACTCATAAGTAAAATAAATCAGACTCACATGTGGAAACATGATATTGTCTCCCTGATGTGAGAAACTGAAAGAGTAAATAAGGTCCAAAATGTACAAAAGATATTATGAAATGTGGAGAAATTGTTCAGAAGGAAAGAGGAACTATGGTAGGGGAAAGGAGAAAGGAAGGGAAAAGGAAAAAAAAAAAAAAAAACAAGATATACTACAAGTTTCTCTTTCAGTGAAAAGAAAGGTTTGTACTAATACCATCTGGATAATTTTTATGTCCATATCTTGTACTCTGAGTAACTACTTTGAAGATAACAATATGCAATGTATTAACTATTGTTATTCTCCTATTATTTTGTGTTGAAATTTTTATTTTTTTTTTCATAAAATTAAAAACAAAATCTTTAACCAGGATAAAGAGAGCAGCTCTATGTATATTCACCACCTAAGGCAAAGTACCAAGCAGACAAAAGTCACCAGCAACGGAGACCACCCACAAGAAAAAAGGGAGCTCGGGATCATGGTGGAGTGGTAGAGCTTTTGCATAGCATGCATGAAGCCCTGGGTCCTGCCCCCAGCGCCACCTGCACCAAGGGGTGGGTGGGGGCACAGAAAAAAGCAGCATTTCCAAACCTGGAGGGAAGGAACAAAAAACTGAGGTGTCACATTCAATTTAAATTTAGAACTCGAGAACAAGAAAGAAAGAAGTCATACTCATTAGCCTCAATCTACTAGAGTTGTCTTGTCCAGAGCAGAATGAAGACAGGAGGGCAAACCTGGAGAAGGCGAGTTTGGAACAGCCCTTCAAGGAGCATGCTAGGGATGGGAGGGGCAGCTGGTGCACACAGGGTTGGTGGGCAGGCACTGCAGCGGCAGATGACTGGAGGCTAAGGGCATTTGCGGCCGCCCCTGCAACAGGTAAAAGATGTTCTCTGGTTCCCACTCAGGCTCTGATGTCAGGCAAGTGAATCTTTAGCCAAGGTGTCCAATTTTTGTAGGACAACTTTAACCCAAATGCTCACTCACCCTGACCCACTTTGATCTCCCCAGCTAGGCACGTTCGCGGACAAGCCATCAGTTTTGAAATCCCATCTCAACTGAGACATCTTGGCAGCTGTCCCTGAGTCCAAGACTGTTCCTCTGAAAAGTTGCTATGGAAATCTGTTGCTGCGGAGTTGGCTGGTCATATTTAGAACCAGTGAAATGAGAGAATTCCACGTGAGGAACGTAAGTATCAGAATCCACCCCACAAACCATAAACACACAGTCATTTTTTCTTCCAGTATGAGACATTCTTTTTATTAATGAAGTTGAATTTGTAACAGTGACAGGTGACACACAAATGGCCCGGACAAGTATGAATATAAAACAATCCACAGGACAAGTACAGGCACAGAAAGCCCACCTCTCAATGCAACCATGGGTACTGACAGGGAGCCGAGTGGTAAAGCAGGGCTTGCCCAAAGCAAAAGGCCCACAGCTCCCAGAGCTGGGACAGCAGAGGCACATGAGCTCTCGGACCCCTCTTCATGAGTTCCCACTACGTGACAAGAGGATGGCAACAAGAGCATGACGTGTGAGAATGGAACTTCCAAATCCACACTTTGGAGCAGGCCTAGCTCTGAAGCCTCCACTGCAAAATCTTGGCACAAAATGGCAGGACAAGTTGCTAAAAAGCAAATCTCTTCAGAGATCTTTCAATCAGGAACACTGGTTCCAGATTTTAAAAGATCACACATTTAAATTAGTGAAATCATATTTCACAAGGAACTGCATGTTACCAAAATGTCAAGAGACCACCAAACAAAACATCCTCCCTAGGCTTAAAAAGGAAACACCAGGGCTGAGGATTTAGCTCAGTGGCAGAGCGTCTGCCTGGCAAGCGCAAGGTCATGAGTTCGATTCCTGGTACCAGGAAAAAAAAAAAAAAAGGAAACAACAACATACCAAAGAAATTTCTGCTCCCATTTCATCAATAATGGAGATAAAAGAATTTTGCTACCTTAGTTTTATTAACTATTAATAAACTACAGAATTTTTAAAAAGAAAGCTAATGGTCTTAAATTTATTTTCCATTGGGTGTTAGCTAGGTAGATAAATTTCCCAATGGCAATATCATCAATTATTTTTATGGTAGCACCTACATTTTTCCAGCGACACACGTTTACTAATTAAACGCTATATATTTTTTCACTACAACTTATTTTCACTAAAAACTTCACAAACATAGTTACGTGGCTAAAATATACTAAATTGAAGGGAATGTGGTAGCACATGCCCATAATCCCAGCATTCGGGCATGCTGACACAGGAGGATCAAAAATTCAAACTCAGCCTGAATAACAGACCTTGTCTCAAAACAAAAAAGAAGCAATAGGAATGTCGCTTAGTGCAAAGACTTTGGGTTCAATTTTCAGCATGGGGTGGGGCAGGGAACAAAGACAACAACAACAGGAGGTGGAAGGGAGGGCATTTAGAAGAAAAATCTGCTTGATAAATCCCTGCTCAAAAACAATTGTAGAAAAGCTGCTCATCGTCGCACATACCTGTTATTTCCAGCAGAAGGATCTTGAGTTGGAGGCCCTGCTTGAGTGTCGTATCAAGTTCAAGACCAGCATGAACTGCATGATACCATCTCAAACAAAATTGAAAACAAACAAAAAACCCTAGAAAAGTTAAAAGTCCTACTTGAGCTTAACTCAGGCATCACTTGCTAATCCTAAAGAAATTCTGATCACCAACAATAGAAGAGAGTTAGACATAACTCCTCTAGAGCAGGTTCTTGCTTGCATTCCTACTCAGCAGCTAGGCCAATGCTGGCATGCTGACTTTACAAGCTTAACATATAGACTCTTAAGATGTCAAAATTTGTATCCTTTAGCTCTATATATTCCATCAAGTTTTGAAATGCATTAAAAGAAAGAAAATAGGGCCTGGGATATAGCTCAGCAGCACGAGCACCTGCCTGGCAGGGGCAAGGTCTTGAGTTCAATTCCCGGTACCAAAAATAAATAAATAAATAAAAAATAAAAGAAAGAAAACAATGCAGCAGCCATCATGGCACATGCCTGTAATCCCAGTACTCTAGGAGGCTGAGGCAAGTTAAAGCCCAGCTGGAGCAATTTTCAGACTCAGCAGAACCCTGTCTCAAAATTTAAAATAATAAATAAAAATAAAAAGCCTGGGAATGCAGTTTAGGGAAAAGGCTCTAAATTTAACCCCCACTACTATTTACAAAAAAATACTTAAGCCAGGTGTGGTGGCACACACCTCTAATCCCAGTAAAAGTTAAGGCAGGATTGTTCTGAGTTGGAGGCCAGCCTGGGCTACACATTGATTTCAAGGCCATTCTACACTACGAAGTAAGACTCTGTCATGAAAAACATAAACAAATTTTAAAAAAAGATGAAACCTGATAGCCAAGGAGTTTAAAAAAAATTTTTTTTCAAACAAAAACAGACAAGATAGAAGTTACGGACTGTTAAAACTACAGAAGATTCTAAAGAGTCTTGAAGATTTGCATCAAGGTCTCACCTTCAGCTGGCAGTAAAGGCAAGGTCAACTTTGCTCACAAGATGTTTAAAACATGCTCTTCCTATCACACCACAGTGCCAAAGAAAACTCGGTCAGTAGCAGTGGTGTATACCCATAGTCCTAACTACTCAAAAGGATAGAATGCTTTGGCCCAGGAGTTTCAGGCCAACCTAGGAAACACAGGAAGACCTAGTCTAAAAACAAATAAACTTCTGATACTAAGTTTAAAATTCTTAGAAAATTTGTTGAAGAGCAAGGCATGGTGGCACATGCCTGTAATCCCAGCACTCAGGAGGCTGAGGCAGGAAGATCATTCCAAGTTCGAGACCAGCTTGGACTACAAAGTGAGCTCAAGGTCAGCCTGAACTGCATAGCAAGACCCTGTCTCAAAAAGACCGAAAAAAAAAAAAAATTACCTTATCTGACCTATCATTCTACACTGACTGTTAAAATCAGTGCTGTATTTCTCAGGCTTTAAAGTTAATGGAGAAGGCTGGGCATGGTGGTTAAATTTAGAGCCTTCTCACTATAAGCCGCACTCCCAGCCTTTTTTTTTTTTTTTTTAATTAATTATTTTTAACAGGCTTATAATCCTAGCACTTGGGAAGCTGAAGCAGATTCTGAGTTTGAGGCCAGTCTGGACTATATATATCAAGAAACTATCTCAAAAACAACCTGGAGGGGAAAATAAGCAAAGGCAAATTGAGCTTATAGCTGCTTATAAAACACACACACACACACAAATCAGTGCCAGTCACAAGGCTGTAATCCCAGACACTGAGGGTAGAGGATCATCAGGAGTTCCCACAGTGAGTTGAAGGTCAGACTGAACTGCATAGGGAGACCTTCTCTCAACAACAACAAAAAAACATAAGTTTATTCCATTCCCTCCAGCAGGGTTTAAAACTCCAAAGTAAAAACAGCAGTCAGATGTATGTATGTCTAACTCTCTCATATATTATTTTTAGGAAAAATAAGCTTTATCAGGTTAGAAAACTTTGGAATGCTACAATCCAGGTGAGCTTGAAGTTATATTGGATCTTAAATCACTGGAAGTATTTTAAAATACATAAATTGGGCCAGGGATATAGCTAAGTGGCATAGCACCTGCCTGGCAAGCACAAGGTCCTGAGTTTGACTCTGGGTACCCCCCCAAAAAATAATAAAATAAAATATGTAAGTTGGCTCCCATTATGAGAAATACAAAAATAAACATGATAAAACAATTTTTGAAAAGCATAAGAGGAAAATCTAAAAGCCACTGAAGCATAGATGAGTATAAACCATGAAAGATTTTCAGGAAGATGCACTTAGATTTTGTATAAATGATTTGACAATGGACTTTCTTAGCAAGGCCTGCAATCTACAGGAAAAGCTGAACTTGTGCTAAATCATTTATTTCTGTCAAAGCTTCCTCTTTTAGAGTTAAAATAAAAGTATTTAGTAAAATACAAGTTATATAATACTGATTTCATTGTGAGAATTTTTCAAAACTCCATGTGTTAAGATATATACACACAATGCTAAGAAAAATTGTGCTTTTCTCTGATCAAAATGGCCCTTCCTCTGGGAAACATTAGCATCTACAGGCAACGTTTGCTAGGAATTGTACTATCCCATTTTTCCGGTTCCACTATCCTACTGGCTTTTTTGTTTGTTTGTTTTCTGGTACCGGGAATCGAACTCATGACCTTGCAATTGCCAGGCAGGCGCTGTGCCCCTGAGCTAAATCCTCAGCCCCTACTCTACTGGCTTTTACAACCTATATAGCACTTTTTCTGAACCAGAGGCTCATCCCACTGAGCCAACGAAAACTCATCCATTGCAGACCCAAGATGCACAGCATGCAGAAGACTCTGGTTTCAATTCTCGGTCCATGGCCTTCCACAACTGCAGTACTGTCTGCTTCATTTATTTTGGTAATGTTCAAAGTGGTGGTGGGGGGTGCTAGCCACAGATCCCCCACACACTTGGTACATGTCGCCTTGGATTTAACTTTAATAATCTACATTGCAATTTGTGAACCATTCATTAAACACCCTCCTCCCAGTACTAAGGATTGAATGCAGAGCCTTCACACTGAGTTATATCCCCAGCCCTCACCTCTTTTATTATTTATTTTGAGAGAAGGTCTCACTATGTTGCCCAGGCTAGGCTCAAACTTGCAATCCTACTGCCTCAGCCTCCTAGAGTGCTGGGATTACAGGCATGTACCACCATGCACATATAAGGTTCAATTTTAAAAACTCATCTCTGTTCCTACCAGGAACTATTAAGAGCCATAAAGCCAGCTTTCCAATTTATCCCAAGGGACTAAATCTTACCTATTAAAAGCATCCCACATCTCATTCCAACAAAACCAAAACTAAAGTCATCAGAAGATAGAATACTCTCTCCCCTCTGCCTTGTATCTGTGGCCAGCCACCCAGCCTTACCAACAATTCACACAGATGACATAAAAACACTGAAACAAAATCAGGAAAAGTAAAAAAAATGTTTTCCCTTGCAGTGCTAGGGATTGAGCCCAAGGCCTCAGGTGTGCTAGACAAGCTCTCTACCATGAAGCTACAACCCAGACTTTTGGGAGAAATTTATAAAAAGCAAATAAGCCAAGATATTTTATAGAACTTCAAACTACTGATAGATCATTTTGTGATTGTATCTCTTGATGCTATTTACAGTTCTAGGCTTTAGTGGATAACCTGGTTTGCTTTCAAATGGTTACAGGACAAAGAACTGCCTTTCTCCATACTCAGAAACACTTATATAAAGCCTAGTTCCCTTTTACATTCAGGACATGACAGCTGCCAACACAGTAAGTCCCCAACTTATGAGTTCCATTCTGGGGCATCATTCATATGGATTCCTCTGTAAGTCCAACGAAGTAAGTCTTACACTGTATTTTCACTTTTGTTCCCATGGTCATTGCTTTGTGCTTCCTAGCAGTCCCTTCCACATCACCAGTCTTCCTCTTGCCTCCAGACATCCTGGGCTGGTTGAGCACTGTACTACCCGCACTGTACAGGAAACACACAACACCACAACTGTAACCATGGCCAGGAGACACGTGAGCTACTTTCACAATTTGTTTGCATCTACAAATGCTTGTAATGCAAAGTCCATTCGTATCTGTGAAAGTTCACAACTCAAATGTTCATAAATCAGGAATTACTGTATAAAAAAAGTGAGGGTGCCAGTCGTGGTGATCCACACCTGTAATCCTAGCACTAAGGAGACTGAGACAGGAGGGTAGTCATAAATTTGAGGCCAGCCTGGACTACAGAGTAAGTGCAGGCCAGCCTAAACTACATAGCAAGACCTTGTCTCAAAAAAGAAAAAAAATAGAGTGAGGGTTAAACTTTATGAAATTAAAGATGCAAGGTTCTAGATTTAGAAAACCTAGCAATCTGGCTCTAAGACCAGACTTGCTCACCTAGATAACCAAATTAATGAACTATACAACTGTAACAGCAACAGAAAGTTTCTGCACTCTAAGGAGTAAGGTAACTGCTTTTCCAATTCAGACTAAGCTGAAGAGGAAATAGACTATCACAAATTATAGATAGGGGGCTGGGGATTTAGCTCAGCAGCACAGCGCCTGCCTGGCAAGCGCAAAGTCATGAGTTCGATTCCTAGTACCAGAAATAAATAAATACATAAATAAACAAATTATAGCTAGGTAACAATCTGGCTAAAGTCATCCAGGTTAAGGGCATTAACTACAGTCAAGTTCAACACAGAAGTACAGAATCCCTCCTTTAACCTTTATAGAGCTCTGCCTACTCAAGTTATATCCTAACTTTTGAAAACTGAGAAAAAAAACAAATGTCATGAGGGCACGAAATAAATATGAATTCATCCAGCTTTGAAATTGCATAAATTGAACATGTGAATTCAAAGTATGACATATTGTTAACAGCAGTAGTGCCAGGCCATAAAAATGGTCATTCCAGGACACTGATCACAGATAAGGCTTGGCTATGTCCAAAGCAATTACAGTATTTCCCCTGCTGATTACAGTCAGTTTTGGGTCACCCACATGCCAACAAGCTAATCTGACCAGGCTGATCAGGTTTAAAGCCTAGGTTTTACAGTATCTGTGGACTAAGCAAATTACAAACCATGGCAGACATCATCAAAGGACCTTCTCATACTAAATCTTATAGAATCCTTAATAAAAAACTCACTGAAGAGTCACTCTGATTGATTCTTAACAGTAGCAAAAGAAAACTGTTTCCTTTTCACAACGATATTATATGCTAGGAAGTAATCTGTGAAGAAAGTACCATTTCTTTCTATCAATGAATCTGAGTCTCTGCATCTTCATTAAAAAAAAAAAACAAAACCACAGTGGCTGGGCATGGTGGCGCATGCCTGTAATCCTAACACTTGGGTGGCTGAGGCAAGACTGCTGTGAATTAGCCTGGGCTATATAGTGAGTTCAAGGCCAGCCTGAACTACAGAGCAATACCTTGTCTCACAAAAACTAAAAAATTATAATGATGAAAATAGAATAAAATGAAAATGGTGAAATGTGTCTTGATATCAATCCCACTTGGGGAAAAAGAGGATGAAAACCTTAACCTGTAGAAACAAGTTTGACTCACCAATACCACCAAGCTGAAAGAGAAATTAAAAAGAAAACTTGTTACTTATTTTACAAAATACCCAAAGCCTATTTTAAGAAATCCTCGTTTCAGGATACAAAAACCTTGTCCTAAACTTTTTCTAGTTCTCAGCAAAAACTTCAGGATGGAAAAACTTCAGCTAACATCACAGTTCCTTTTCTCATCCCTTAGTTTATGCTGATCCCAACAAGCACCCAGTGAGGGCATCATTTCACCCAACACCCTTCTTTTGCAGGAAAAAAACAACTTAAAACCCACTTAAAGTGTACACCTATAATCCCACCTGACTTAAAACCCACTTAAAGTGTACACCTATAATCCCAGCACTCAGAAGGCTGAGTCAGAAGGGTTGCCACCAGTTGCAGGCCAGCCTGGGTTACACAGTAAATTCAAGACCAGCCTGAACTACATAACGAGATCGTCTCAAACAAAAAATCTGATAAAAGCAGGACTCAAATCTGATGCTCCCTGTCAAAATTAAGACCTTTTTTTCTTCTTTTTTGAGACAGGGTCTCCCTACGTAGTTCAGGCTGGCCATGAGCTCACTTTGTAGACCAGGCTGGTTTTGAACTCGCAATCATCAGGCTCCTGAGTGCTGGGATTATAGGCATGCGCCACCACACCCGGCAGAATTACAATTTAAAATGATAAGCTGAGTTAGAATTGCAAGCCAAGCGTAGTGGCACTCACCTGTAATCCCAACACTCAGGAGGTTGAGGCAGGAGGATCTCTGTGAGTTTGAGGCCAGCCAGGACTAAAGTGAGTTCAAAACCAGCCTGAACTACATAGTAAGACCCTGTCTCAAAAAAATAAATAAATCTACTTGAAATTGCAGGTATCTGTGTAGGGCCCAAATAGTGCACAGGTATGATATGTACATATTAGAATACAGATTTCTCATCTCTCAACTCAGAATTTCTGGGGATGGGCTTTAAGAAAATGTTATGCTCAACCAGTTCCCAGGTAACTGTGAAAAAATCATCTGCTTGAGTTTACCATCCTGAAGAATGAATCCTAAATCGAACTCCAAGTAGGGCACCTATTTGTTTATCCTTTGTACAACAGAGCTTGTCAATCAAACCAGCCTATTCAAACTGACAGCACCAGTGATCTAACCTGAAGTAGTCACATCAAGATTTCATGTGCCTCATTAGACATGGTGACGCATACCTATAATCCCAGCACTTGAGCCTGAGGCATGAAGATCATCATGAGTTCTAGCCTAGCCTAAGCTACATAATCCAAGGCCAGTCTGAACTACCATAAGAAGACCCTATCTCAAAAAAAAGAGAGAAAAAGAAAAAGGAAGAAAAAAAATTTATGTGTCTCACCCTAAAGTGCCAGGTCAATGGGCTTAAGTCACAAGTATAAACAGTAACAGCTTTACTCCTTACTAAGTTAGTTCTCAGGTGACAACACCCAACAGTGTTTTCACAAACTTCATGTACTCCTGGAGGTATCTTCTTGCAGATTACAAACACATTTGGTGTCAACTTTCTTCTGAAGGTGTGTACCATTTCAAGGAAGGCATCATCATACCATTAACTTCTAGAGAAAGTAATGTGGATGCATCCCTAGTCAGAATTATCATCAAGCTGGGTTTCCAGATAATCCATAACTGCAGTAAGTATTCTAAGGATCATATAAATATATACCCTCATCCATTTCACTTTATTTTGTACTGAAAATGGCAACAAGTTGCACTGTAAACCCATTTCTAAAGACAAGGAATTTTATAAAGGAGGAAAGAGTGAAACTGTGTTAAATGCCTTTGAAACATGCCTAAATATATATATGATATACATTATTCATTCCCCATAATCCTCTGCCAAGCGCTTTCTTGCTATATTTCTCAGGAGGACACAGCCTAAGGTTCACAGCAGCTAGGTCAAGCTTTGAACTTCTGAAAGGAAAAACCTCTCTCAGTAAAGAGAATGTAAAACAGCAGGAGACTGGGAAAGGCAACATGAATGAAGAAAAAAGGAAGCTTGCTTAGAAATAAGCACATTTGACAAAAACAGTGAGGGATTTAAAAAGATTAGCCCTAATTTAAGAAAAAAGCACAGGTACTGTATTGCTAAAAACCTCAAAACTTCTTTATACCCAGAGCAAAACAAATTTCAGAAGACATAACACTCTTGAAATACAGAATTTTATTTAGAAACTGTTTAAAGTAGAAAAAAACCCTGTCAAGAAAGACCAAGTGGAAAATGGTTTCCCAATAAAATGGAATTTTAGGACAACAACAAAAGTCTAAAAGGCCACAAAAGAGAAATAGCACCACTGTTATTTGAACAATGGCTAGTTACTGGCATTTTTTGGCATTGTTAATCACTGAATCTGGGTTTTCCTCTGAATTCCACACAGAGCATGCGCTACACAACAATTTTATCATAAAATACCTGTTTTCTACACACATTTTAGGACAAGCTACCACCAGAAACAAATCAATACAATCACATCAGGGGCTCAACAATCTCAGTAGTGGGTAACATATATTTTGCAGTATTCTGCCAAACAAAGAGACTGAATAGGCCATGGACAAAAAGCAAATGAGGGAGAGTTAAGGAATGAAATATTTTAAATATTAATAATTAATTCAGGCATGGTACTGGATTTTCTGCAAAAGAAAATTAACATTTAGTTACACACTAGTGAATTTTATCTCCAAAGAGATTAGTGCACTGGCAAAGTATTCAGGTAAGAGTGGAGAGCTGTGGACAGCAGATACCAAGACACCCCAGCCTTGTCGATCCCAAGGTAACGATGGCCTTCACCGGTCACGCCCTTTGCCAGAGGTCCAGCAAGAACTTGCAGCAAGATCACCTGCCCGCTGCATTTGCAATGCTAAGCAGCAAACTTAGGAGTCAGAGGGAAGTCCCAGTGGGCAAGGGGAGTAGAGAAGAGGAACATGTTAACTGTAAACTTAAAGACAACACAACAGGACACACTCCCATCCAATCGCAGAGATGTGGGCAAGTTCCCAGTAGTTGTTTAGATTGTACAACTGGACACACCTCATTTCCCCAAAACAATACACAGAAATTTTAAGGATAACCAAAAAATTATCAGAGAAATGCTCAATAAAAATCGAGCTGTTCACCTCAAACATCTTAGGGCTAAATACCTTCCATTCATCTAAGCAACCATGCCGCTTGCATTTAGCAGGGATGCAGATGGTCAATGACACCAAATGGCTTTACAAAGCAATTTCTTAAACTTTCCTTGTGGGCCAAAGCCTTGGCATGTGAGGAATCAATCAAACAGCCCTGCAAGGCCTGTAACAGCAGGTTCTGAAGGTTCCAAGGTCTGCCCTTTCCTTCCCAGGCACAACGTCAGACACATAAAATCTTCTGTCTCATTACATTTTATATTTTGACATATGGAAGCATATTTTAAATACTCTTAAGGCATTTATTTATTTATTTATT